TAGTAATCATGCAGGCAGTGTAGGGCCCCATTTCCTGTTCACTTAAGTGGCTGCAGAAATGCTTTTGACAAGTGCCATTTAGCCCTGTGGGCTTTTTTTTTTTCCCTCTCTCCTAGGTTAAAATTTAACTGCAGGTTTTAAGCAGCAGTAGTGCACTGTGTCCATATTTGTTGCTTCATTTTGGGGTGTGTTTATATTGCCTTTTTAGTTATTTTTCTTTCTGTGGGCATGCTGGTGCATAGCTGCTGTTTTTGCAGGCTTCTTTGCTCTGCTTAGGACAGGTTCTTAGCATTTTTTAAAATTTATTTTTACCATAACTACATATTTGTACATCCAGAGATGCACAGGGACTCTCTGCACCCCTTTGGGACTGGAGGGCCGCTTGCTTCCGAGTTGCTATCATTAAGTTTCATGGTGAGTTCCCCTAATCTTAAACCAAAAAAAAAAAAGCAAACCACCAAAAAAACACCCCAAACCCCACCACATATCATGGACCTGTGTTAAATGTCTACCTGACACGATGTCTACCTGGCCCAAACTATCTGTGTGCTGCAAGGGGCTGGAAAGTCCCCAGCAAATACCGCTAATGCGGGAGGTTGCTGAGCAGTTATTTGGCCGCTTTGAAAGCGGCAGTTGGCCTAGAGATAAATGGGCTGGCATTGCTGAAGTTGGGCATAGGTAACGGTTGAAAGTGTCCTGTGTTTTGTCTCGTCCTCTCTGAAGTGGCATAGGAAACACGGAAAGGCCTGGATTTCTCTGCAGCGTGGGTGAGGCCAAGGGATTTTTTTCAGGAGACTGAAGATTCTGCCCTGGAGTGACGCTGTAGCAAGTAGCATAGTTGTTTCTTGCTTTATTGTGTGTTTTTAAAGGTGAAAATTGGTGAAAATAATCCAGTTCTGGGACACTGAGCCGACTTAAGCCCATGCAAAGGAAAGCAACCCCTGTGGTGTCTCTTTCTCTCTCTCTTCTTAGCATTGCTTGGAGTTGGAGTGCTGGGCAAAGAGGTTCTTGGCTAGATGCTCCTGAACTGAAGGCAGGAAGCTGCTGAAGAGCCAGTGAAGCAGCTCTGAGCTGGAGTTGTTATAATGACATGTATTTGTATGTTCTTGCATGTGCAAATCACTCTTCTTGAGCAAAACGCTCATTTAACTTGCGTAACGCCAGAGTGCGTGTACGGAGTAATGGGAAGGTGAGGGATGTTCTTGTGCAGTGAAATTGCATTGCAGCTCTCTTTCAGTAGCAGTAATATTAACGTTTGGAGATTCTGGGCTTTTATTTGGGGACCTAGGCTTCAAAGATGAGCTTACTGGATTTCCTGTGTTATCAAAAAGCAATAGGAATTGGTAGAAGAAAGTACCAGTGTAATGTGTAAGGATATGTGCTTTGCTTTGCGTTTAGTTTCGTGGAGGTGGAAATGGAGGTGATGTTGGCTCGGAGCAGAAGTTGGGTTTCGTTCAATCACCTCTTAAGCACTTCTGCTGCAGCTGCCTTGTCTTCCTGTGGTTCCAAACATTTCTTGAGATCACCTCTTCCTCTGAGGAATCAGGTTCTCATGGGCTACCCAGATGTCAGGGCATTGCTTCCCGGTGCCGCCCGTGCATCTTGGCGTTGCCGGCTGGCTTTCTTGCAGAGTTCTGTTTCAGCAGTGAGCCAGATTTTATGGTGATCAAATCGTATCCACATCTAGTGCTCATCTTGCAGCTAAGTCTCTTCTTTTTCCTTTGTGGAGCCCTGTGATTGTGTTTGACTGTGGCTGTGCTTCACAAATCCCTGTTTGTTTCGGGAATAGATTGTAATGAAGTGAAAGGCTATCAATACATGACCATGTCAGAGTATCGCCTGTTTTTTGCAACGCTGAGGTGTGTAAAAAGATGGACTTGTCATTTTAAATTCTGCCATTTCTTCCTTGAAAGTGCAATGAAGGGAGCCTGTGCTATTTGAACACATCGTCGCATAAGAGAATGTAGGTGAAGAGGTATTGCTATTTAGTATTATAAAAGAGGGGAGCTGTGAGGAGCCCTTTTGAGAGCAGTCTTTGAAAGAGGACTAATAAATTAGTCCATCTTGCAAACAAATAAATAAAATGGTAAGTGGAGGCAAAGGAGCGTGTGGCTGAGAGGAAAGGCTGCAAAATTGGTGATACAGAGGCTCTGAGCATAAAGACTCTGCCCAAAAGTCAGGCACAAAGACCTGATTTAGAAAATAACTTTGTCCGTATTGGTGAAATGGTGATAGGCAGGAGTAAGACTTGGATTTCTGTAATGAATTATTTGTTTTGTTATCAGACCTGTGATAGGAGATGGAGGAGAAGATGCTTTATTTTTAGCTTTTGACAGAGCAATTGAGGCAAGGTATATTTGGGAAGGCAATGTAGGCAGCCCATTTCTGCTGGGTATCATTTAAAAAGGTAGGCTAGGGTGGTATTTGCAATCCAAAAAGATTTGAAGAAATGTTTCCTTCAGGCCCTCAAGAGGAGGGGAAGTGCTCAATTAGGTCTGCAACTAAGCCAGGTGTAAGGCAGCTGGAGTGCACTTAGCCGTTACGTTTATGCTGCTTTTTGCCCTTTACTCCTGCTCTTATCTAGATCTGTGCACCAGCTCTGTAGCAGTGAACTCTCAGGGTGTTCTTTGGTTGCGGACAAATGTGCGTCTTTGTGAATGAGTAAATGTTCAGCACTGAAGGAAGCCACATAAGCATGTGGGACAGGAGCAGTTTAATGGGACCCGAGTTGCTGAATGGCCGTGGTTTCTAGTGGATGTCCTGGTGGACAAACTTGCTCTGAAGGCTTTGGTGGTGTTGAAGATAAGGCTGTTATTAATAGTGGAGAAAGGAAACTGGTCTAAGGTGAACACAGGAGATTGGCCTCACACCTGGATGCAATTAGGTATTTGCACTGCTCTACTTGGTTTGAGTAATTGATAACATGTTTTTTACTACATACAGACCCTCGAACCAAGATATCTGGGCAAATGTGCTTGCATCTAATGGGGACAAACTGCATCACCTCCTGAACCTATTTGTTTAGCCCCCCTGTTCCTCAGGTGTTTCATTCAAACAATAATTTGGTGCTGCTCAGCTCACGTGGCCGCAGCTGGTGTCGCGGTGCAGGCAGAACTGTCAATAATTTGCAACTGAGAGTTGCTAAAGAAGATGGCATATTTAAATTGCAGTGCCCTGGCCACTGAGGAGTTGCATATTCCATAAGGACCTGTTATTATTATATAGCAGGTATCGTTAATGCCTCTTTGCATTAGTGTTGTCGCAGATCGGTAGAAGTGTTTACGTTGGAGGCGACTCTTGGAGGTCATCCATAATGCTTTCTTTATTTTCTTGCATGAGGTGTGATGAATCTTGTCTTAAAATAGAAATAAAGCATAATGAGAATGAAGTCTTGGCTTGGTTCTGCTGGAATTTGTGGCAGGAGTGTCACAGGCTACGTCAGGCTTAAGCTCAGTGAATGTGGTGTAACTGCACCTAGCGCTGGTCATTTGCAAGAACCGTTAGCACCGTTATGGTCTTTTCATGATAAAAAGCATCCAAATCATCCATCAAAGTCTTCAGCAGTGACTAAACATTGCGTTATTACTCTTCAACATGCCCAAAACAGATTAAAAAGGAATGTGGGGAACCGTATGAGTTGGATTACTCATAAATGTCGTGTAAACCATTGCGGCCACTCTGCAGAAGATGGGTTTTGGATCGATTGGGTTTCTCAGGGTTTGCTGAGCACAGGCGACTTGCAGCTGTTGTCATGAGCACAACTTAAATATGCATACACCCTGTCCAAGGAGGATGATAATTTAATCTGGATCCTTGCACCATGGTGTTGCTTCAGTGCTGCCTTCAAGGCTGTAGGCCTTTGTGTGCGTCTTTGTGTGTTCAGTACTTCGGGTTCATAGGGAATTGCTTGGGTAAAATTTAGGAATGAAAATCAGAAAACCTGTTCTTTTGTATTTTTTGCATGATTTCTTTAGCTAACAGTTTTAAATTGCAGCCCTTTCAAAAAAATTTATTTTAATTGAATCCACTTTCCTCAAGCCATGATCCAGAGCAGAAAATTCTGTAATTGCTCAAGTAAACATATAGCTACAGAAATGACTTGTGTTAATGTAAAAGTTGGTTGTTCCATGGCAAACATTTGTGTAAATGCTTAACCATTAAAAACCCCTTGTAAGATAAGTACAGATCCATTTATGCAGCTGCGTCCTTGCAGGTTTCTAACTCGAAGTGGTTCCCCAGATCTCGATGCAGTTTTGTCTCTTCTCCCCTTTTCACTTTACGAACTTTCTGCACGTCAGACTTCACTCCAACATTCTGTATCCTCTCATCTTCTCCCAAATCCACATACTGCAGCCAGGGCCTGAACCCACCGTGTCTGTCGTGTTTTGCACCACGATACATTTTTGTGTCATTGTGTTAGCGGCTTTTGAGACTCCGGGTGGAGCAGCTAAAATTGGCAATGGAATTTAAGATGTTATTTGTTCTCTTTCTCTTTGTCCCTTGCCCTTAGCTTCAAATTACTTTTTTTTTTCCTTCACTTAATTTACTTTTTGTTCCCACCATTGTCTTTCTTGTAGTTTCTCTTTCATGTCAATGTAAGTTGAATATAAATCTGTTTTACACAAGAGTTATTTGGCTTGGCCTGAAAGGAAATGATCCAGACTGACTTGCTTATGCATTGACTCCTTCATCACCTGAAATTAATACAGCTCAATGTGCAATATAAATGTTTACAATAAGCTTGGCAAAGGAAATTACAGTAGGTTGTCTTAATTGCTTATTTTGCCTTTTTTGTGCCTGTATAAAAACTTATCCCTCTTTAAGTTGTAGCTTCTGGGAGTCTTCAAGGTAAGTTGCATCCTAGAGCCCAATTGCCTTGTTATATGCTGGAATTTGGAATATGACTTGCTGTCTGTATCAGAAAAAATGCTATAAACCCTGATTATCTTAGAGAAATGCAAACAGCTGATGGTAGATTTTTCTCACCCATTTATATATAGGTGCGCTCCATGGATGAACTGAATCATGATTTTCAAGCGCTTGCTTTGGAAGGAAGGACTATGGGAGAGGTAAGTGAATGACCTATGCAGGGAAAAATGTGTATTTTAGGGGAAGGAGGGAAGAGGGATTCTTTTTTTTTTTTTTTTTTTTAAGCCTGGTAGAGTGGTTTTGAGCTCGAGAACATTCTCCATGATAACTCGGAGGGGTGTGTGTGTGTTTGTGTGTGTTTTAAGAGAATAAAAACCCGTCGGGCTGGAATTTGCCTTAGAGGAACAGCTAAGCCCTCCACCTGTTCCACCATCAAATAGTAAAATGGTGCTTGTAAAAGAACAGGCAGAAATATGTCCTGTGACAAGTGTTACGATGCTTGTAGCCTGTTTATTTTAGTATGCGGTGACCTGAGACACCACAATACTGGGGATTTAGTAGTGTCCTGTTTTTTGCTGCCTCCTTTTGATTCCTGGCCGCTACTGGCCATTCCCAAATCACAGAACTGTGTTTACTGTTGAAATTAGCTCAGTGCCCTCAGCTGGGGCTGCAGAAGCAGTAAGTGTCCAGACAGGCCAAAGAACCAAGCAGGAGTCGTCTAATAATGAGTTCTCCAGTTCTCACTGTTTTTGCCATGATATTGGCATCATTCTAATCACCCAGTGCAGTAAACAAGCAGCAGATCTGGGGAACGTGCCCAGTGCTTTGAATGAAGAGAAGTTACCTAGATAACTATTTGGAGCTTCTTGGAAGAACAGCAAGTCGGTGTATTTGACTGCGTTAGGTACATGGAGGTTGGGTGTAAATGCTTTTTTCCATGCCTCACTTCCTTTTTGTTCCTCTCAGAGGCTTATGGAAGGATAAGGAAGAGAAAAGCTTGTGTTATAGGAGGCTATTAAAGTTTAAAGAGTGTCTGTTGTTTTGGAGAGGCTCCTGTGATCCTGTCTTCAAACATTATATTCTCCATCTTTCCTGCATCTTTTCTGTGTTGTCAAAATTACAAATCGGATTTGAAAATGTATCTATGTCCCTCAAACGCCTCAGGAATGATAATTTCTGAGCAAATGTGTAATCAGGATTATTGTGGGGGGTGATTCACAAGTGGGTGCTGTCCATAAAGTGAAAACCTCATGGAGCTCATTGAGCATTGCAGCATCTCCCTTTCCTTCCTCTTTCCATCCCTGGAAGATCCTAATACCAAGTTGAAGTTAATTTTATGGTACTACGTAGGAAAATTTAATTTTTTCCAGGTTACATTAGCATACATCAAGTCTGTTAACTTAAGAGTAGATGGAAATGATTTTCGAAGGAGAAAACACGACATCAAAAAATCAGTCTAAAGCTGCGAAGAACCAGCTGATGTGCCTGCATGTGATAGGAAACATGTCAGGGGACTGGTGGGAGTGTGAGTGTTCTTTAAATAAATAAATATATATTTATGTTTTAGCATATCACTTAGGGAAGGTGTTTGTTTTCAGACATAGAATATACAGGCTTCCTGAGACCGTGAAGAGTAAGTTTTGTACTCGAGCACGCATTTTGTGCTCAACATGGCATTAGCTCATGTTAATTTAAATGCCTGAAGACGTCTCTAAATACATTGATATTTACCAACTCTTTCACTTCTTTGGTGATATTCTTTCTTGAAGGAATTGGCATTTTTTGACCTTTTGTCCAAACGATGGCTCATCTTTTATTTACTTATTTTAATGTTGCAACTCTGATGTAGTTGCCTCCTACTTGCTGCAAGGAGATGCATCCTTCTGTTTTGTGCTTGTCCATGCATGGGAGCAAGTGGGTTTTTCCAGGACAGGTAGCGCTTCAGCCATCCCTTTCACTAACCTAAGACAATATTTGTTGTTTCTCTTGGACATTTTTTTTTTTTTTTTGAGCCGTGGAATTTCCTGTCATTATGCACTGGATTTTCTCCATGAGATAGCTCTACATTTCCTGAGATATTGCAATATCCTTAGTAAAAGTGCAACTAAGAAAGTTGTGTAAATGGACTTCAGTGCATAATATGTGCCTTAGCTTTCAAGACAATATGCTTTTTTGAGACATGGTGTTGTGCAGCATGCCCTATATGTTTGTAATTTAAACATTATTGCAGTAGAGCATTGATGTGTTTTAGCTTTTTTTTTCTGTTGAATATGAAGGAAACATTGTTTTTTTGTTTGTTTGTTTTCTTTTTTAAATTCCTAAACCTTACCTGGAGGAAGTGTTAGTAATCTCAAGCCCTGAGCTGATGCGAAAAACCCTGGAGGAGAAAGATGAGCAAAAGGATTTTTATTTTTATTTTATTTTATTTTATTTGGGTTCAGGAAAACAAAAAGATGCACTAAATGTTTTATGCTGCATGTTTTTGTAGGGTTTTTCTTCACTGTGGCAGTTTAAGGAGTTTGTGCATCTGAAGACATCGGCGCTTACTTTTAAAAGAGGGATTGTCAAACACTTTAACGTCTTCTCTGAATTCTGACATCAGGATAGATAATAACTTTTGATTTATGATGAGCAGATAGCCTAATCTGAGGAAATTAAGAACCATTTCAAGTCCCACAGCTTTCATCTGCATTACGGTCCTCTCAGTCTTCAAAATCCCAGCCTCCCTGTACTGCAGCCAACCTCGTTCCCCCCTAAATTTCTCTGTGAATCCAAGTGCAAATCCAGACGTTGAACTGGAAAGTCACGAAGGAAGAGGCCGAAGAGCAATTGGTAAAGGAAGAAGGAAAAACTTCAGAGAACGGGCATGGATCCAAGTATGTGTCCGTGCTCCTTGCAGTGAGGCCTTTGATCATACAGCAGTGATGCTTTTCTGAGATTTAACACAAACTTTGTAAGTTCTTTTTCATCCCAGCTCTTCAGGGCAGCTTTTCTTCACTTGGATCTCTCTTATCGGGACCTTTGCAATATAAAGTGGTTGTGCAGTATCTTTTTGGTCTTCTGGAGAATGCAAACAGAGCGTGAGGTGTTATTTGTCTTTGTCACTGGTGTCCTGCAGGCATTCTGAACTGCTGCTGCGCTCTTGCTTTGGTGCTAGGTTATGCCACGAGATAAGCCTGCATCTAGAACAGGAGAGCAGCTGGGTGAGTTGCTGCCTGCTGCTTAATCCAGAGCGTGGGGGGAGCACAGGAACAGAAACACCTTAGGGAACTGGTGGGTTCTCAACTTCAAAAACCGTAAAAAATGGACCAAAACCTTTGACGTACGAACATCTGGCAGAAGAGTGACTTTCCTACTCTTGAAAACAGGCCAGTAATGAATATTTTCCATTTTCATGTGACAGGCGAGTAATTATTGTGCTTGGTGCTGCCATCTGCCAGGTTTGAGCGCCGGCATTAGCGCATCTCGCCGCAGGCACGCGGAGCAGTTACTGCAACGGGCACAGTTTGCTGTAATACGGCTCTTGAACAGCCGTGGCCAAGGCGATGGGCGGCCCACGGGGGCCCTGCAACGTGCCCTTGATGCAGTCATTTGGGTCTTGCCTAAGATCCTGCTTCTCCAGCAACCAGCACATACATATATATACATGTACATATGCACATATATTGCAAAAGAACAAACCAAAAGGCTTTCTTTTCCTCACTAATGATGACACCAGTGCCATCTTGGAAATCAATGATTCATTGGCAGCTGGGATGGAGAATATTGAAAGCTTTGCATGATATCCTGGTCTAGTTCTTTCCTTTACTTATCTAGTGGCTGTGGCCATGGGACCATCGAGATAGCGTTTGTGAAGGATTCTGCTCATCCACGGCCAAGCAGCTGAGCAGGAAGACCCCAAGGAGCAGCACTGGGGCAGCACTGGCTTCTGAAAAAGGCAGCTCAAGTCCAAGGGTTCAAGGGCGTGCAGTTAAACCCTGTCCTGGCTTCCCAGCTTGCTAAGAAGGCAAAAAAAGTCTCAGCAGTTGCAAAAGTGCCACAGTTGCAGTTGCAAACGCTGCAAATGCAGTTGCAAACGTAATGCAACTGCATTTGCAGCGTTTGCAACTGCAACTGTGGCACTTGTCCGAATTTACCTTGCAGAGCCAGGTTCTGCTTTCCTCTGCCAGTTAAGCCCAGTTCTCCCACGGCTCTGCTGCAGCACAGATGGCTGCTTTTGTCTTAATATTCGCCCTGTCGAAAGGCGATTGGTTTTGTTAATTTGTCTAATTCATAATCCCGTCTCAGTGGGATCTGTGGGCTCCATCTCTTGTTGGTTGTAGAATTGCTTTTGCAGAGGTGTATATTCCCCCTTGCCCACCCGCTCCCACCCTGCTAAATTGAATATTGGCCTAACTCTGTTAAGCCCTGTGTAAGAGGGCTTAGAGGGATTATTTTCATACTATATAGGGTCAATTTTTAATAAAGATATGGAGCAAATAAACAACTTTTGTAACCTCCTGCATTTTCTTTCTTATTTTCCAACCCAAGGAGTTGATTTGCAACGTGATTTTTCACTTAAAATAGGTGTGTGGGTGACTTTTTTGTTTTGTTTTCATTTTTTGCTATTCCCCTTTCCCTCCATTGCAATGCCAGTGCTTGCCAGGGGAAAGCTTTATTTTGGAGGCATCTTTATAACCTAGTACAAGGTGTTTAATACATAACTAAACCCCTAGTTTTGGTTGGAGCAAAGCTGCTCGGGGTTGTTCTTCCTAAAGCGAAGAAAGAAAGAATTGGTAAACCAAAGCCGTCCTAAGAAAGCAAAGTTCTGCTGGAGCTACTGGATTGGAAATCTGTTGTGAATTTTAACACAGAAAATAAGGAAAAAAAATTCTCTTGTTGTTGTTTACATTGCCCAAGAAGCCAGATATTTTAAAGTACTAAAGCCAAGCAAGAAGACTGAATGTAGTTATTTGCAACAGACTTGCTTAGCAAAAATCCCCCTGAGACTTCAGTTGTGCTCGGTCCAGATTTTAGGATTGCTTCAAAGATGCTGTGAGCGGATATTTCTTTGACTGCACTTGCCAGACAGTCCTTGAGCTGCCACCCCTTTTTTCTCTGCTAGGGAGAGGCAGGTTTCCTTTTCCCTTTTATTATATGCCATTTCTTGATTAAGTGTAAGATGTAATTAAACACTCCCCTGTGCAAGCCCATGGTCTTTGTCTCTGCTGACGTGGCTGTGTAACAGATTGCATCCTTACACCCTTTTGGGGACAGAACCGTTTGGCTGCAGCTGAAGTTTGGGTCGGGTGGTTCCTTTTCCATATCTCCCGCTCTCATTCTCAGCTCCCTGGGCTGCAGAAAGCAAAATTGATTTTGAAAGATAGCCCAGTAGCATCACTGTCTCTTTCTTAGTTAAATAACTGAATGCCATTGCGCTCTCCTCTGCAGCGGTTTCTGCAGAGTTTGGAAGGATTTTTTTTTTTTTTTATGCATTGGGTAAAGTTGGTAATGCTTTCATTAACATATCTCATTTTTGTAATCCGCTTTCCCTCGTTATCCAAACCTGTGAGCCTTGGATTTCTCTGCAGACGTGCAGACTTGCTAACAGGTTATGTAGTTACCCATTACCGTAGCTTATAGGAAGCATTGACAGATCTGATGGTTCTTGTGCTGTTGTAATTTCCTATAGATTTACGTGAGCTCTTCCGCTTCCTTTAGTTTTACTCCAAATTAATTCATCAAGGTTCATTTCTTTTGCTACCCACTATGAATGCCCTGTTGTTCCCTGTGTGAATTACGCTGCCTCTCATCCAGCCTGAAGATGCAGTTTGAAGACCACATCCCTCACACAGAAGGCACTTGAATGGGACTTGAAACTGTCCCTGTTGTTGGTGGAGATGCCATGAGGCACCTGTTTCCTCTGGTATTTTCAAAACGTGCCATCAAAATGCTCTTTTTGCCATCTTCCAAATTCAGCACGGTCTCCTTGGGATTCATTCAAGCCAAGGGTGGCTTGTGGTCTCCTCCCAGTAACCTCCTGCTCTCCTAGGAGCACGTCGCCCACATGCCAGAAAGGCTCCCTCGTGTTATTAGTGTTCACAAACAACCTTCCAAGCTCGAGAGCTTTCAGAACCCATTAAATAATGGGCAAGTAGGAGCTCCTGACACCTCTCAAGGTCTCCTGGCCCTGCCAGGATGGGAGCTGCAGGAACTGTGTGCAAGAATTGCTGTAGGAATTACTGGGAGGTTCATGGGGCTTTTCCCAATAACACAATATTTTGCCCAGACCAGGTTTTCTCCCAAATGCTGTTCTTGCAACAGCTCTTGTGCTTGGAGACTGGAGAGTGTGGGGTGTCTGTGTGTGCTTGCTTCAGCGTGTTCAAAAAGTGTTTAAGACTGTTAAAACAGCATTGCTGAGACTGGAATATTGTCGTCATTGCTGCCATCCAAAGAGTATATAAATATTTTGATAGAAGCTTTTATCAGTTTGTGTTTTAACAATTGCTTCACGTACAGAAGGGAGATGCTTATGGTTTGTGTTTGCATTTTATACTTATTTTAATCATGCTTTGTGTTTTTTTTTTGTATGTGTGTGTTTTTATTTTAATTGCAGCAGCTGTTGCCAGGTAAAAAGTTTTGGGAATCTGACGATTCCAGCAAAGATGGACCAAAAGGGATATTCCTGGGAGATCAGTGGAGAGACAGTGCGTGGGGAACATCAGGTAGCTCAATTATTATAGTTAATTTGGGGTGGGATTGGATATGGAAATATGCAACTCATTCACTCAGAAATGCTGGCCGGTTTGTATGACCCAGCTTTTAAAAGATGTGAAAACCATCTGTTTTACATAAGAGAAAACTTTAAAAGCCCACTTTGCTCTGTCATAATGTTAAGATATTCATAATTATGGAAAGATTGTCTGATGCGAACTTATACTCTTATGTTTAGCTGCTTAAAATGTTTAGATTGCCATTAACATTTAAATTTTCTGGTATATTTTCTGCCTTTTTTTTCAGTTCAGTATAAAGTTCTTAGAAAGCAAAATTAGTGAAAAAGAAACAATTTTGGTGATTACTTAGCTGACCAAAGCTAAGCAATATGAATGCTATGGTGTTTCGAATTAGTGATGCTGGAGTTGTCTGCCAAGAATTTAGTTCTTGGCTCAGAAAATTTCCCTTGTTTTGAACTTAAAGGCAGAGTACTCCGATATTTTTACACTTGTTTCAAATTTCAAATTGGCTGTTTTTTTCTTGGAAAATGGGATGTAGCTGCTCCAAGTGTGATTAGCAGAATCTTGGCTATGATTTGTGGTCTCTGAAGACTCAAATCTTGGGGACATTTAGGGGACTTGCCTCTGGCTGCCTTGATTTGCGGGTCCCCAGCGGATCTCCGCAGCAGCACGAGCATCCAGTCCTCAACCACAGCAGCATTAATGTCATCTGAAGTTGAGGCTGGATTAAAGGGGCAGGATTGGATGAGACTTTCTCCTTTGGCTGCCTCGCTTGTCGGGCTGGTTGCATCCACTAGACAAGCAGGGCAGATGTCTGCGGGAGGCAACCTCCTCCGCTGGCCGATCACAAAACCTCCATGAGTCAAAGCCCTGTCTCATTTCCTCCTTGTTTATTTTCAATTGATCCAGTGCACCTTGCAGCCCGTGTTCCTGGGCTCTGCCCTGCACTGCTGTCTGTGAGTCAGGGAAGAGTTTCCCTTTGGCTCATCCTAAAGGAAGAGACCAGTCATGGCCTGAGCACTTCAAGGTCACTTCCACAGAGAAGGGGAACTTGGAAGAAGGAGATGCAATGTAGGGGTGTCCTTGGCCAGCAGACTGCTTTGTTCCGTGAGCAACAGAATGAATGAAGCTTGGTTTTTCTATAAGATACTTTTTGCTTCATCCATTTTCACTCCATGTTCACTGAAGTCCTCACAGAGCTCGTTGCTTCAGTGCTGTAGCTTGAACCTTGGAGGTATCTAAGGGCAGCGTTACAAGAAGCAGTGCTCTCTCATGCAAGTCACTCAGTCCTCAGCTCATGATAGAAATACGCAGCAGTACGATGAAGCCTGCTGTGGAATTGCTTTGGCTTAAAACAAGCTTTTATTTTCCCCGGGATTAAGCTAATCAAGAGTTTCCCCAGTTCACTTTGTGGCCACACAGGGAGACAACACCCCAGTTCACTTTGTGGCCACACAGGGAGACAACACCCCAGTTCACTTTGTGGCCACACAGGGAGACAACACCCCAGTTCACTTTGTGGCCACACAGGGAGACAACAGGAAAACATGGCTAGGAACAACGACAGAATGGAACTAATTCTCCTGATGGCATATGCCCGCTTTAAAATATTTGGAAACTATCAGATCAACATCATTCCCTGTCCATTGCCCCATCCCCTGCCAAATACTCATATTCTGCCTATTATTTTTGACTTGGTGACTATAGCTGGGTTGAATGAGTAGGGACCAAGTGCTCCTTGTGTTTCCTAAGTGCATATGCAAGGTCACCTTCTCATACCTGGCCATCAGCTTTTGCAGAGCTTATACGGACTGAAAAGGACCCATCTTTGGTCAGTTTGGGTTGAATTTGCAAGCAAATCCCTGTGTAAGAGGGGATGAAAGGATAGAACTGGTGCAAAGGGTGAGAAAGACAGAATGAAGTTCTCAAACTTCTTTTTCTTGAGGAAATAGCTGCAAAGAGAAACTGTGATCATGACATAAGAAAGTGTTAATTCATATGACCCAAGGAAATGAGAGTAGGGTGGTGCAACCTTATGGTGATGTTTTAAGTGACAGTTGTAGCTGAAATTGAGACTGCCCATTTTACACTGTACTAAAAACAAAGTTCCATTTTTTCCCTTTTAATAAAGCTCTTCTATTAATTGCAGCATTTATTTAGAGACTTAAATTTTTGAAACTTGATTTTTGTATTTTTAGAGCTTAAATGTAGTTATGTCCAGCTTTACAGGTTCTCATATTTCACAAGAAAGTCAGCCTTCTAATGGACATCAGTCAAAGCTGGCACCCATTAGTACAATTAATAAAGAGTATGCATTTAATAACTTGCCTCCTTTCAAGAGCTGGATCTATTTATACAAATCAAACATGTTTTTCTTCCAGATCACTCGGTTTCCCAGCCTATTATGGTTCAGAGAAGACCTGGTCAGGGCTTTCATGTGAATAGCGAAGTCAACTCGGTGCTTTCACCGCGGTCAGAGAGCGGAGGGCTCGGAGTCAGCATGGTGGAGTATGTGTTGAGCTCGTCTCCTGGAGATTCCTGCCTAAGGAAAGGAGGATTTGTAAGTGTGCCTCATTAGAAAATTTGAATTATGTTGTTTTCTCCATTCACTATTTCCTTTTTTGTTGTTGTTGCTGTTGAGTTTTTGTCCGTTTATTCCAGTCTCTTCTTAGAGACAGATAATTCCTGTTCATTTTACTTGCTCTTTGTTTAGTTCTCTTGCTTGATTAGGTAGGGTAGCGGCTCTAGGCTCCATCTCAGCTCTACCCCATAGCTGAGAGTGGTATTTAATAAGTGTCACAAAGCATAATAAGAAAGGTTTGTTGCTGCCAGCCTTTACTCATCTCTTTGGGGAGCCCATTTGTGGTTTCCCTCATCCATCTTCATGTTTTTGTCCATCATTAGTAAGTACCTAATAGTTTTGTTGAACCTTTGAGCCTAAAAAAGATGATTTTGGGAAACTGAACATTCAGAGCAAGGAGACAGCTTGTCACCCCGGGTTGGAGCTAGAGTTGTGACTGCTTTAGAGCATTTATGGTCTGGGTGTTAGTTCTGAAACCAAGGGTCTCATTTGGGAATAGTGTTGTGTGCATGAGATCTGGACCCAGAACTTGCATTTATAGTGAGCGTTTCCCGCTCTGCTCTCTGATATTAAGAACAACTTTATTTACAAAGTGTCAGGTGGCAATTGCTCAAAAACCACCTTTTGTTCTAAATATGAAAAAAATATCCCAAATGAGAAGAATAGAAAAATGATTTACTTGAAACAGCATTCAGATGCCCTGTCATGTGAAGTACTTGTCTCCCAGTTACAGTGGAACATGGCCGTTGAATATCTGGCCTCATGACTACCCCAAAGCTATCTAGAACATACACATTTATGCTTCCCTTGCTGGTTCATCTCACGCATTACCTTGTCTTTCTCTCCCTTTTGCTGTTCAGAACCCTGCCCTGGGCTTCATCAGCCTTTAGTCTGCTCCTAGGGGAGGTGAAATGCCAACATTTAAGGGTAGACGTGCTTCACATGTAACACCACTGATGGAGTGAACCTGTGGTTACATTAGTGATTGACCTGAGTGCTCGTAACTGTGTCACAGTAACATCCAACTACAAAGAGGCTGCTGAGACACTAGTTGAGTTGAGCCAGACCTTGATTTACAAAAAATAAGCAACAGAATAGATGATAAAACCTCTTTTGGAAGAAAATGAAAACTAAATTCCTTTGTTTCTTCAACTGTGGTTGACTGTTTTGCTCTTCTGTACTATTTGTTGTTGTAGCTAATGCTTGAAAGTGATTTATTTCTTTATGACATGCTCCTTTGATTCTCAACCATCTCTGAGAAGAAAAAAGTAAAATTGATCTGAAAACTAAGCTTATTAAAATAATGTTTTTTTTGCCTAGGGGCCGAGGGATGCAGAGAACGACGAGAATGACAAAGGGGATAAGAAGAATAAGGGCACATTTGATGGTGATAAATTGGGCGATCTGAAGGAGGAGGGGGATGTGATGGATAAAACAAATGGTTTGCCTGTGCAGAACGGTATCGATGCAGATGTCAAAGATTTCAGGTATGTGCCTCGTTAGCTGTTAATTAAAGAGTGTCACACTTAAGACTTTCTGGGCTGTGATAAACAGTAGGGAAAAAACCAGGGACACGACGTTGTATCCAGGAAAACACTGCAGAGATGCAGAGGAGAACTGGTAGCTCTAGCCTGTCTGCACAGATTAGTTTGGTATAATGCATTTTTGTTTTATTTACATGCCTATTTTTAATTATCTTGTGTGGAATTCCTGTGGAAATACCTACTGAAGATGGTGATCCGTCTAAATTACAGCTGGGTTTTTGGACATCTTTTTTCCCCAAAAAAGTTCAAAATACAAAAATCCAAAATACAAAAAGTTTTGTATTTCTCAAAAAATTATAGCCTTCTGAAACTTTTGCTAGCTTACCTACTCATTGCAGCCTTGTTCTGTTGACATACAGGAAAACTGTAAGAGCAAAACAAATGTGCCTTGAGACACATAGTGACGGCCCTCAAATTGAGATGAACCTTTCCTCTCTTCAGTGCTTATGTTGGGTAATTAGGAAGCTGTGACAGCTACTTCAGCAAACTTTCAAGCAGGATGCAGTGTTAGAGAACTAAATTGTGAATCATTACTGTGTAGGTTTATGCAAAATAATTTGGGCTGCTCTGAAATCCTGCCTTGTCATGACTGACTCTTCACTTGAGAAAAGAGAAATTACATTTTTGTATGTAGCTTAGTGTGTCTTGGGGGAAGGATTCGATTTGGTAATTTTGGGTGCTTTAAAAATTATTATTCACAGCAATTCTTGTTTCAAAGAATTCATTCAGGGAATTAGATACATTTTCTCTATAGCAGCTTCTACAAGCAACCCAGGCTGGTATAGGTGCCCATTGCTGTTAACTGATAGTGTCTGACGTTGCATTAAATAAATGTCCTTACTGCTAGGAGCCTCTTCTTTCTGTGCAGCCGTACACCTGGCAATTGCCAGAACTCTGCTAGCGAAGTGGATCTACTGGGTCCAAACCAGAACGGATCAGAGGGCCTAGCCCAGCTGGCGAGTACCAACGGCGCGAAGCCGGTGGAGGATTTCTCCAACATGGAGTCCCAGAGCGTCCCGCTGGATCCCATGGAGCACGTGGGCATGGAGCCGCTTCAGTTTGACTATTCCGGCACTCAAGTACCCGTGGACTCGGCCGCCGCGACCGTGGGGCTCTTCGACTACAATTCCCAGCAGCAGGTAGAGTGTCTGCTGGTTGCTCTCCCCCCTGCCCGCCTTGCTGTGGGTCCTCCCCAGACCCGCCGTGGGTCCCAGTGGGCAGATTGGAGCTGCTCCGTGATGTATATGGCCATATGGCTCTATAGGGTGCTGCAGGTAACGTCCTCGTGAGCTCCATGTGGCTGATAGGCTTAATAAGGCAATCTGAAAACCAATCTTAAGGATCTGTAATGACAGCAGTTGTGCTGCTGATTAATAATGGTTAGCTTTCAAGTAAGTTTGCATTGGAAAAAAAGTAATCAGTAAAAAAAAAAAAACAAGTAAGCAAAAAACCCTCAAGCCCTAAAAGTGAATTAAAGGTTGGGGTATGGCTCATTGTAGGTGTTGGAGTCCTGGTTTGGGATCTCTGCAGTGCTGAGCCAAACTAAACTGATGGAATATGAACAAAAATGAGTTTCGATTGCCTTGTTCTTACCTGCGTGGTTTAAAACCTACCGAGGTCAGAGTCCAGCACTCTGAAACTTTATCTCAGCCCAGTGGGCTCGTTGGACCTTTTCTCCCACATGAGCAGCCCAGGCTCCTCATCCTGGACAAGTAAAACAAGACTTTGCTTCACTCTTTGGCCTCCCTCGAGTGCTGGGCCAAGATCCAAGGATGAGATCCTTATCTACCGCTGTTCCTGCTAGTTTGGGTGACAATCATAAACTTTTATTGCTTTCCTCTTGTTACTACTCTGTCAGTCAGAGAAGAATAAAACCTTTTGTTTTAGTTGATTGGAGGAGTATATAATTATTCTTGGCTTTCCCAAAACGTCTGATCTTTTTTAGCAAAACAGACTAATTGGGAAAGACTTTTGCCAAGTTCGTACCCAAAGCCTTCTTTTGGACAGTTATCAGAGCCTTAAAAGCAATGTAAATATCTCTGTTATAGCTTAGTTGGTTGTTTTATTATGTAGGGTGTTTGGGAGGCTAGTGATGGAAAATGATTTTAATGATTAAGCTAAATAGCTGCTGCATAGTTTAGAAATGGAGAAAATGAGTTGTTTTTCAGATCTTTGCCTTACTCCGTGGTGTAAAACCAAGAACACAAGAATTACTTCTGCTCTTCCAAACAACAAAATCAGTGTGTATGTTTTCAAAACATCATGTTAGAGCCAACAAAGTTAATTGCTTTTTAAAGAACAGTTAGCTTTTGGAAAGTAACTGCAGAAATGCTGAGTGTAATTCGCGTTTTGTTGTGTTTTCTGTTTAAATTAAGGCTCACTCACAAGTTCTGCCAGTTAGTAAGGGGTAGAACAAAATAAGAAGATAAAACTTAGAAATTTGGCACCTCTTGTATGTACCTGTGGCAATAACATCTCTGGAAGCAAATCATACCTGGAAAGTTCCCTTTCAGGATGCATTGCAGTAGGGCCTTCCATTCCACACTCCATGGACACGCTCAATTTTTCTTTATAGAAAGTGGAGGGTAATAGTGCTTTGCAGCTGATGCAACACAAATATAATAATGATTCCAGCTTTCTTCTGGGTTATCTGGAAAGTGGCAATTCTCTATTTCTCTTTAAACAGAATCGCGGTGGGAGAGCAGAGGCCCTGGCACGGTTCATGCAGCTTCTGCATCCCCTGGATGTGGCTGCTGCACTTAAAATAAGCAGAGAATAAGCAGAACAGAATCTGTTGAATCTATTGAAAAGGGATTTATTTTACTTAATGCATTTCACTTATTTAAAATTTCCCCCTTTGTTGCAGTGGCTGCTTAAGCCTGGCAGCTAACCCAACTGCCAGCGTTCTGTAAACATCAAGGCTGTAGTGAGGATGAGGGATTCGCTCGCTCCGCTGCCAGGTGCAATTTCGCAGAGTGTGTTTGTATAAAGGCAACGTCCCTTGGCCCAACAAATAGAGCCCATTTCTTTAATACGTTATATCCAGCAGCCAGGCTTTCTTGGTGTCCACTGCCTGCCAGTTAGAGCTCGTATGAAGGAAATTCGCCTTTTGGAAGTCTAGTTTTCCCAGTATATTACTTTGAGAAGGAAATAAAACTTGAACAAAGCCAAGGTGGGTTTTTTCCTTTGTGTTTTTTGTGAAAGTGTCTTTCCCAGACTGCTGGAAAGCGTCATGTACTCTGAAGGGATTACAAGCAAGTGCAGCTCAAAGCAATATTAAGAAGGGGGAGGTCGTAGCCAGCCGTAATCTGATTAGAGAAGTCAGATGTTTATATTGCAGGAGAAACTGGATTACAGCAATCTAATCTTAGAGGGTTTCCCTAACTGCAAAATAGATATTCTGCTTTCTTGGAGATCCATCTATGGCTCCACTATAGGTTTTAAATGATACTTTGACGGGTAAATGATAGTGAATGATACTTTGTACACAAATGCATGAGGGGAAGCAAAAAAACACTCATTTTTGAAGTACAGAACAATACTGCTGAATTTCTCTTAGACTATGTCGCCCAGTTGTGTATTTTTCACCATTAACGGGCATGATCCTGTATAAATGTGATTTAACTTCAGCCTCACTTGGCTGACTCCTGTTAATGCTCCTTCTGAAGGGATTTCTTTCCATTCTTCCACTTGCAAGAGAGCGCTGTTTCACCTTGGTAAGAAGTTTAGCCTTTATTTGATGCACAGTAGGCTTCCAGATAGGTTGACAACAAGCTTTTAACGGAGTCCTCGCCTTTTGCTCCTCTGTATTTCTTGGAATATAGGTCGCTGCTGTCAGCAGATGGAGAAAGTGCATTGAGGGCTTAATAACACTGCTTAAATATGTAGGGTTGATGTTGCTGGCGTGTGAGCTTATCTGGCTAAGTAAAGCCTGAAATGCTGCTCATGGTGTATTGGCCCCATCTCCTTTTGTATGCTCCAAAAAATCCACAGTTACAACAAGTTTTAGCCGTTCACTTTGAATATCTTCTGGGTAAGTTCACTCTGGAGCCTCGGTTATGGACCTTTGGTAACCACCTTTAACAGCAAACTAAGAGGCATTAGACTCTGTGACACAAATGAAATTGGGTTTCAAGACCATGATGATGCCTTTTTTCCCCATCAAAATGGCCCGGGCTGAAGCCAGTTTGGAGAATCTTTGGGAAATCTCTTCTGAAAAGCAGTCACTGAAATGTCACCCCAGAGATCCAGCTGTTTTTACATGCTGATCCTGCCGCTGGCTGCGCTCTCTTGCACTTCATATCTTCTGGAACTGTGTTTCCAAGCTTGTTTACAAGCCGAACAGGTCACTTTGAGCCTGTTCTGTCACAGCTTGTTACACCAGGTGTAATTTAAAGAAAAGAGCATCCTTTTAATATCTCCTGTTCCAGTAAAAGGTAGAATACTTTATTGCAGAATTCAATAGAAAAGGAGGCAGCAAGAATAATTCTTCTGGGGTATCTGCACCCAGTAATGGAGCAGGGGGCTGTTTTGGCACTGTCACTCACACGTGGTGGGTGTGCAGGGTCCTCGGCCTCTTAAGGCATTAAGTGTCTTTGGAGAAAACATAGTTGCAGCTGTATTTTTAGCACTTGCAAGATCAGCAGTCCATCTCCTAATATTGAGTTTCTGGATCTCAAATCTGATGCTGAGCTTCTAGATATCATTCCTCTTCTTGAACCCATAAAAGAGAAGAAAACAGATGATGCAGGCTCTCTGCTATCTTTTTTCAAGTCTGCTATCTAAACAGCACAGGTGCTCATCCTGCTTTGAAGAGCACCAGCTCCAATTTTGACCCATAAGGAAATGTTTCCAATGATCCTGTGCTTCTTCCTGGTGCCAGTAAGTTTGTGCACCAGAATTTGGGCAGGATTAAGTTTGCTGCTTCTTTCAATAGCTGGGTTGTCTTGTCCGAGACCTGAGAGAGGGCAGCGCTAATGGAGGGAGAAATTGTAGAGCATTCAAGCCCGTAATTTTCAAGTGAATAAAGAAAGAACACATTTATCACCACGGTTCATGCAGCGGGTCACACTTTGAAAATAATCACTTTAAAAGTAACTGCGTTTTGGAGGAGAGATTTTTGAAGTAGCTGCTCAACATGTATTGTATTAATTGATGTAACTGATGCTGAATGAAGATTGGCTAAAGTGGCAAATTTCACTTGCAAGCATTTAGTCTAGCCCAGAAAGGAAAGAAATAAGCTTAGGGTGATCTAAATGAATGGAAAACATCTAAGTGAAACTACTCTTCCTGTAAATACTAAGATAATTTTCCTTTTCCTTGTTGAGAATAGTAATATTGCACATGGTTTCTGAAGATTATAGTGAGCTGTAACCTGGGCAAACCTATCTGTGCTTTGGAAGACTTCACCACAAAGTCCTGAGGTCTGATTTTTGTCTGGATCCAAGGAGATTTTCCACCTTCTCATCTTCATCCCTCCCCTCCGTAGTTTTACCGTCTGCCTGCTGTCTCCTTTGCTGTCTCTGAGCATCTGTAAAAATAGCTGGGGTTGCCTGGGGATCCGACTGCGTTGCGGCGTACCCAAAGTTGTTCAAGGCCTGAGAGCAAATGCAAGAGCTACTAGTGCTCCACAGGCTGCAGCTGAGGAGGAGTTGGAGGAAAAAAGGCTTTCTGGGCATTGCCTCTCAGCAGAAGTGCTTTTTGCGGGTTGGAAGGAACCCCCTGGCTGTGGTTTAGCCGTACATTAAAGATAATTTTTCAGGCGGATTAACATAAGTGCTTGATTTCAAAGATTTTTTTTATGCCCTTTTGAGATTTTACTTCTCTTAAAGCACAATGTCTGTAGCTGTGAAAATTCATCTAGTTGAAGAAATTGCTTTAAAAGGAAGAAGGAAAAGGCTTTTCCAGTGCACAAGTAAAGATCCGTGTTTGTTCTTCTGTCCCTCCAGTTGTTCCAAAGACCGAACGCACTGGCTGTTCAGCAGCTAACAGCAGCCCAGCAGCAGCAGTATGCATTGGCAGCTGCCCACCAGCCTCACATAGGTAAGTCCTGCACTTAAGGATTTGCATTTCATTAGACTTCTCTTTAGTGCTTGGGAAATGACAGGTCAAAAAAGGATTGCCAGACTTTAGAGAATCCTCACGATGTTTTTGCACCTGGTGAGTAGTTGACACAAAAGTGGGAGCACACTGTTTCAAGATTTTCTTGAAAAACACAATGGAGATAACTTGTTAAAAGCTGTACAGCATTCGTGTCTGGCAGGAATGACACTCCTGCCCTGCTGAGAATGCTGTTCAGTCCTGGGAACATTTCGAAGTTCTTGCTCTGAGTCAGACATGAATTAGGGTAAGTAGCACAGTGAAAGGAGGGGAAAAATGCACAGTTTGGTGTACACCTAAGTATTTCCTGTAGTTCATCTTTAAAATTTATAGATTTTAAGCTTTCTAGAGTCTGACTTCAACTTAAGGATATAGTTTATGCTAACACAGTGCTCATTATTAAAACAGTATGGCTTAACTGGGAAAAATGCCCTTAATGTCCTGCACAGAAAAGTAGGAGAACTGTAGAAAGGCTTCTCGTAGATTGTGAGAGTAAAAATATTAACACCTCTGGATTAAAAGTCTTTAGAAAAATCAGCAAATTAAATGATAGTTCTTCCTGAATAGAAATCCAGTATAAAATTATTGGAAGCTTTTTAACTTCCTTACCTTTTCTGCCCTCCTCTTTCCTGCCCTCCTCCTTGGCCCAAGTAATTTCTTTAATTAAAATACTCCTTTGCAGAGGAAGATAAAGCCTGCACGGCGGTGCCAGGAGTCACTCTAAGTGATGGCAATGTTACCCTGACAAACCTGAGCTGCTTTCCAACTAATTAATTGGAGGACAGGAACTCAGAGTGTAGGGTAAATTGCTTCTTGATTAACTTGCTATAGGAAAAAAATACAGAAGGATAATGGGCAATGCTGCTAAGATTAATACCTAGCTGGCATTAACAGCTACCGAAACAGTAAGACCTGATCTTGAAGGTCTTTCCCAACCCTAATGATTGTGTGATTGTGAAGTTGTATCTGTGCTGCAGATAGGTGCTACCCGTGCCTGAACAGGTGTGGGCATTGGGTATAGCCTTCCACATGGGGCAGTGCGTCTTGGCAATGGGATTTCTTTTATCCAAGTCACATCCTCCATAGTTTTCTTTGTAAAAAGACTCTGGGAAACATAGTACCTGCTGGCTATCTATAGAAGACAACCTGTAGAAACCTTGAAAACACTAAAACAACACGAGCTGTTGCTCTGTGTCTGTTCAGGTTTGCCAGCCAGACTGTTGCAGCCCGTTTGGTAGTGCTGCAGTTCTAGTCCAGTTTGTTTTTACTGACAGGTATGTTTTCAGCAGGTTTAGCTCCTGCTGCCTTTGTACCCAACCCCTACATCATCAGTGCCGCTCCGCCGGGGACGGATCCGTATGCAGCTGGACTTGCAGCAGCCGCAACCTTAGGTGAGACACCTTCAGTTGTCATTCGGTGCCATTTCTGTACCCAAACGGGCCTTAACTCTGCGCTGACTGTGGCTATCAAATATTAGTACACTGTAAGTTTTATGGAGAGATGATAATGTATATCAGTGTAGTGCTTTGACTTGAACATCTGGTTTTCTCTAGATCAAATATGTTAATTATTGTATAGCACTTGTTAAGGACAAGAGCTAAAGCAAACGTGAAATTAAAAACTTCTGGAGGCAAATGTTACTTTTTTTTTCTTGTAACTGACAGTTTCCTTGTAACTAAAAGATACTTTTGAATACACACTTGTTAGAATGGTGTAGGATGTGTTTCCTGCCGGGATAGTTATGTCTTGTTGCTGTTTAGCTTGCTTTACTGCACTGTGATACCCCTCCCCTTCACTACATGTGTCAAGAATTTCTACTTTATAGGTTCTCTGAGTAAAAACATCCAATATCCGCTGTGAAGCTTAGATGATAAATACGTAGTTTTTCCAGATGGCAGAGCCAAGATGGTGGTTCTTGTCTTCATGCAAGATCCTTCTCCCAAGTGTACTGGTTTCTAAATCCTTTCCGACTGTCATAGCCCAAGTTGTTGCATCTCGAGATGACAGCTTGGTAAAACAGCTTCTCCAACAGCGCAAAGAGCACATCGCGTGCCAAACTATCGCTGCGTACATCACAAAGTTTGGGCCCGAGTGGGGAAAACAAAAGCAAAATTTGTCCTTGGGTAGGTTTACGGCCATTCCTCACTTCACGTGAGTCACCTGGAGGTGTCGTCTGGATGTCAAATCACATCTGCCTGTTCCACAGGAGTGGTGGGTTTCAGTCGAGCCGCTGCTGTGCTGCCGCGTTGCATCTATATGTGCAGCTTGTATACTTAATGCAAACCTTTCCAGCTCTGGCACAGCTTGTACCAGATCTAACCCAGAAACTTAGGCAGAGCGCTCTGCTCAGCACAGCCCGCGTCGGCGGGTGGGTACGTGACTTTTTGTCATGTTTAACAGCTGTTACATAACCACTGCTTAGCTTTTAAGCTTCGGGGCCAGTCTAAGGTCAAGCTCTGAAATGGGATTGCAGCAACTGTTACCAGGGTGCACAGTGTCTTTCTAATGGCTCATATAAAAGTGCGTTAAGAATCAAGGTGATGTTAAGATGTGGGCTGTGGAATTTGTTGGCTGTTGCAAATTTGTTGGCTGCCACGAATTTGTATGCTGATTGCCTAATAAAAATGAAAGGTGAGCATAGGTAACAGCGTGTCGTTGCCAAACAAACGAGGCAGTGATTAAAAGGAAGAAGGCCAAGAGCTCGACTACGAGGAGGTTTCCAATAGTCTGTGAGTCAATAAATGCTCACGTGATGGTGAATGATCATTTTGGTGCTCCTGAAGCAAGTGCTCATTCTGTAAGTATTTGGCTCAAGTTTAATGGAGCAGGTTAGTGTCTTGATTTCATAGAAAGACCACATGTAACTGCTGCCAGATTTCTGGGAAGTAAACAACCTTTTCTGGAGCACATTTTCCTTTTCCATTTCCTTTTCCTTAGCGATGATGAAGTTGCAATTACATGAATCTGTGATAGAGGTCTCATAAATTTAAATTAAGTAACACAGAGCCCAGAATACCTAAAGCATCTCAAAACCATGCATCAAAATCTATACTTGAGTAGTTTTTAATCCTTAAAACTCTTAAAATCAAAAAAGAAGTGGTGTGCAGTGTAGTAAGTGTTATAATTCTGAGCAATGTGAGCTGCTTCACCAATCCCACGAGTTTTTGGACTGTGAAAGCTAAAAGCAGCAATCTACCAACCTTCCCTTCTAGTTGGTGTTTGTATTAACAAAGGTTTTAGCAACGATCTACTCCGTTTGGACTCGAACAACTTGGAAAGCCTTTTTCTAGGTAATAAAAATGAGTGATACACTGCAGGGGTGTGGGACTATTTCACTATTTAGAGCTATGCGTAAACTCCATTACCAGAAAGAGTCACTGATTTGTGTGGGATTGCTGTGTTGGGAGGACTGGCAGAAGTAGTTAATGAGATGGAAAGATGAAGTTGGACTTCTTACTAGTTTATTGTCCACTGTCCCTTCTAGAAAGCATGGGAATGTGTGTGTCTTGTGGCTAAGAGAATTCTTCTGTCATTTTAGAAGGATGTTACTAAAGAAAAAAAAGGAAATCCTGTCTTTTGTAAGTCAAGTTGGGCAATGTTGATTCCCTCCAAGATGGTTTCGATGAGTAGAGGTGATTCTGTCCTTTGTAGGAACGTTGATGCTGGAATAATCTGGCCCAAGGAGAAACACGGTGCTTCTGGATGAAGAGTAGAGTCTGTCTGGGAGCATGTGCATTTGGCCTCTCCAACTTGGGTTGCTTTGAAGCCTTCTCCACTTGGTTGCTGCACATCCCTCCTCACACTGGGGTGATGGGGAGCATGATGGGGAGCCTCTTCCCCAGCCAGCTTGGACACATGGCACACAAATGTGTCTTCTCCTCTCCTGATCTGTGGGGAAGTTCATGCGGGCTTCTCCAGAATCACTGAGTTTGGCTGTTTCCCACCATCATCCAGAAAAGACCCCAGTTTTGGAGGTCTGCTTGCAGTACGGTTAATTCTGAAATGATCAGCTTGCAAATCAACACTAGTAAGTTAAAACCTTGCATTTTTCTGGCATGGAACTCGCATATTGGGCAGGGGCAGTGACCGCTTCATCCTGGCAGAGGCCGAGTCCTAGTCCTTGACAAGAAGCCTGGGATATTTGGTGCTGTTTCTGCAGCAAATAGATAGGGCTTCTGGTTGAAAATGAGTTGAGTGCAAAGGCTGAGATTAAAGGGCTTAATTAATTTTGCTAGGAACACACTTCCAGCTGGGTTTGCTAATGGTTCTCCAAAGGACAAATTGTGGTTGCCCATGGCCAGCACGCAAGGAGAGGAGTGACACCTGGATTCAGAGGCACTAGGATGGGTGTCATTCCTTGCGTGCACACACGTGTCTTTTAATAAGTGTGAAAACAAGGGTAGTATCTCTTGAAATGAGAAAGGATTCGGCCTGTGGGTGCAGCTCTGGCGATGACGACCACCTTGCCCTCACTGAGAACCCTGTTCGCTGCTGAGAGCGTCACCGTGTACTCAGGTGAGCTGAGCCAGCCTCACGATGCGCCGCTCTTCTGAGCCCCGCTGCAAACTGCAAGGATTTGCACCTCCTCCTCTTGTTTTTTAAGCACTTAAGGCCTTTGCAGGTCTGATGAGCCATCTCTAGCTAAGAAAAAGCCATCTGGATACACTTGTGTGATAATTGGAACCATGATGAACTGGGAGGGATCCCCAGATTTTGCCCAGATACAGGATGTTGGGCCAAAAACAAGTTAGTTTTTCCAGTAGACCGTACAGGCAGTATAGCTGCAATGGGTTTCTTAGGCTTCAGTGTGAGATACAAACGTGCCCCTTCATAAAATCCTAAACTGATGGGGATTGCAATGATTTAAAAAGACCCCACAGAACGAGACTAGTAGGATAAACTAAACTACTAGCACAAGTAGATGAGCGCCCTTCATTCCCTGATAAAAACCTTGGAATTCAGAGCTGCCATGTTTAATGCCAAATTTGAAATGAAGTATTTCCAACTATTGCTGAACTGCAGTAGCTTGTGGTGTGGATTGGAGGAGCAGTAGTTTATACATGAGAAATCCGGGCTGTTGGGCACCCGTTTTTGCATTGCTTTTGCATTAGATAGCAGTTCTATTTGAGACAAGGATATGTTATTTTAAAAAGTACTTGCTGGATTTTGTTTCTCCCTCTTTGTACCCAAGCTGCAGTCATCGATGTCTTTTTTTGTCTCCCTTTTACCATCATCCTTCATTTTTCTTGGAATAATTTAAGTCTCTGCTTAAGACACATGATGAATATGAGCATTTAAGTTCTCCTCGCAGTGACTTCCAAATTGAAGGATGTAACTCATAGAAATACTTAATGATTTGCTTAGAGCTCAAATGCAGTTTCTCTTCACATAGAAGCTATTTTTACTCTGTAAAAGAATGTGTGGTCTAAATACTTGTTTGCTCTGTGGTCTCAAATACAAGCAGTACAACCCTTGGGATCAGGGGGAAAAGTAAGATAACAGCACAGACATATATGCAAACCCAGTAATGGGTTTAATGTGATATTTGTTGGGAAGAACTGCATCGTTCGGCGCAGAGGGCTCATTTCTTCTTTTTATGCCAATCTTCCCTGGCAAAATAATTAAGGATATAGTGTCCCGAGACGTGATATAACACAAAACGAATCTGCAAAAGTCACACTTCTGATGCTCTCCATGGTTTTTTTCCTCCCTCTTCCATATAATCAGCAGTTTGGGGGGAGGAGGGTCCATGAGAAGATCTGTGATTTCATGAGCTCTTTTATGGAGTTTTGCAAATGCAAAGCAGGACAGACTGGCTAACAAAACACATCGTACACATTCGAGAGCCGGTGCTGGCCGTTTGGGAAGAATTTTCCTGTAGTTTAGTTTGGAGGGACTTGTGTCTCTGCTGTGCTTAAATGAGCTCCTTTGTCCAAACTTTTGTTAAGAGATTCCTTCATTCTAAAAAGCAGGGCTCAGCAATAGAAACATGAGGTGTCAGCAGGATCAACAACAGCAGAATTTGACCTCATCCACTAAGGTAATAACAAGGAAAAGAGGAAACTTGAGCTCTGGTTTGCAGGCTGTTTTCAAGTGAACAACCCAAAAGACACAATTCCCCTGGACTTGCAGAGTATTCCACGCAGATTGCCTTAAAATAGGATTTGTTCAAGATGACATTTGAGTGCTTTTGGGGGCCGTTTGCAGTTTGTTTAACACTTGTCACTGCAGGAGTTCATGGAGTCCCCTTTGGCGTTTCAGGCCCAGCGGTTGTCCCTCACCAGTACTACGGAGTCACTCCGTGGGGAGTTTATCCCGCCAGTCTCTTCCAGCAGCAAGCGGCAGCCGCCGCGGCCGCGACCAACTCGGCGAACCAGCAAACCACGCAGCAGACCCAGCAGGGCCAGCAGCAGGTAAGTGGCCAAAGTCCCTGCAGGTAAAACCATTCACAGAGGAGCCAGTGTGGAAGACTCGCAGTTTCGAGCTTCTTACCCTCAGTTGCAAGCAGCAAAAAGACCCTCTGGCCTCTTGCAGACAAAGGGGAAGAACTATTTTCTGTGCAATTTATACATAGTTGGCCTTGCTGTGTGGTACATGGGATTCCTGTGGCTGTGAGCTCTTTGGTACACTATCAATCTGAATTTAGCAGCGAGGGTGCAGTGGATAGAAGCTTGTGCCACGTTCCTGTTGCTCTTGACTTGGATAACCCATTTTGGAAGCTCCTACCGGAACAGTTGGGAGAGGAAGGTCTTTTTTGATAGGCACAAAAATATGGGGAAAGCTCTTCCTGATAAAGCAAAGGTAGTTTTAGGACAGATTTGTGTGTTTCCTGCTGGAAATAAGAATAGGAATAATGCACCAACTCTGTTAAAGAGGAGAAACTGTGAAAAGTAGAACTAGCAGCAGTTTGTGTTAACATTGGTAAACCAGCAGGCTTGCTGATCTGCATTGCAATCTTGTTTCAGTGCACCTCTCTGCATTGAGCTGAAGTCCTCTCGTGCATTAGCTTTTAGGGAAAAATCTCTAGGAACAATCAACACAAAAGAGTCCAAAATGTAGCAAGAGATTTTATTAGAGCTAAGTCAGGTTAAAATTAGGTTTAACCTAACTTAGACCTAACTGAAAAGATGAACACATAAGAAACCAGCAAAAAACACGATAGATAATGTGGTGTGTGAATTTTAAAGGTAAGGATGGGATGATACTTCATGTAAAATAGATACCTGATGCAGTTGATAGAACAGATGTGCTGTGAATTTGTTGCCTTGGCGAACACTTCGCATCGGTGCCGTAGTGGAAATTACCGTCATACAACACGGTTTCCTGTGTGCCAGAGTATTGTTATGAAGAATTTGAAAATGTGGGTTAAATACTAAATGTCAGTAAATGACATGGTCTCGTCATGAAGATTGCTGTAATGTATATGAGAAAGAAGAGGACTTGATACCTAAAAGAAAATAAATGAAGGTTTTTCATCCGAACCACTGCTGCCCTTGAAGTGTGTTAGCAACGAGTACTCAGACTGAGTTATTTACATGGTATCTCTTTTTTTTTTTTTTTTTCAAAATACAACAGAAAAAAGCATGAAAGGATCACTGGCAGGTGACTGAGGGGAAAATTCTCTTTGCATGCTATAGCAAATCATGTGTTTGATGGGGTTTGCACCCTCTTAGTCTGCTGGCAGCGACAAAATACTGGATGGCATCGCTTGTTCTTTCACTCTTTCATGGGAAGTCGTGTTCCTCTTGATGAATCACAGCACAATTTCTTGTTCACTGTGTGTCTATACTTGGAAAATGCCAAAAGGATTTAACCTAGATAAATTACTGGCTTTAGTTAAAGTAAGCAGTTTTAGAGGTGGGTGTTGAGGCAGTTGCGCTTCTTCAGATGACACCAATGTCGATTTAGTAACTTATTGCAGGAGAAAGTGGAATTGAGAGAATTAGCACGAAACAATAAACGTTTTCCTTTGCTTTAGTGAGGAGTTGTCTTAAACATTGTATAAGTTTGTGTAGCAGTGCTAGCTTACTATTTAAATTCACCTTTAAAAAACAAGTAATCCAAATGTTCGAACTACATTGATGGTGAGAGTGAATTATTGATACTAAATGTATAATGAAGTTCAGTGCTAAAGGGGTTGCACAGGGTAGCGTGGGGTTTCTCCGTGTTGGGATCTGCAGCACTTTTCTTCTTCTGGAGCTCAGGAAGGTTTGTAAGGTAGAAGCCAAGATCTACATGCAGGTTTCCATTGGTGGCTCCTGCACAGCCCCAGGTGGGTTGTTTAGTAGAGGATCTGTGCCTTGGGGGGAAAAAATGCCTTGGTGATATTTTTGAGCAGCAAGGAAGCTCCTTCTTCATCTTAACCTGAAGAGTTCCTTCCTGGTCCCCGTACTTTTGCGGTGTCAGGCTTATGGTGTGTGAATTTATTACCTGTTGCCCAGAGGACCACTAAAACAAGAGCAAAGAAAGAAAGAAATCGCAATATTTTGTACTATTGCAAGGCCTTTTCAGATCACGAGAGCAATAAAACACATGGGCTTCTGGATGAGCCCTCAGGAGGAGGACACTTCGCTTCTCAGCCCAGCGAATGGGCAGATCTGCCCGGCTGGCACCGCGCTGCCGGGAGCGCATCGGGCACCCCTTTCCCTGCCGCCAGCTGAAACAGTATGTCAGATATATCAGTCACCCATAGCCTTGAAAAAAAGTATTTTTTTCGCTTATCTAGCCACAAAGCAGTTATGAGAGGGGTGCACACATGTGTGTTGCCTCTAATGCAAACCTTGCTTCTGTAAAATTCCAAAGAATTCTTTTCTTTTTCTTTTTTTCTTGGGGGCGGATGTTCCAGCTTTGACAAAGAGCCAACTCTGGGATTTTTATTTAAATTCCCCAGCCGCAGTATCGTCTCCTGGTCTGTCGGTGCTCGGGGTCATTTCTTTTTTTGAATAACTTCATTGAGTGACGCATCCGCTCCCGTCGGCTTGCAGCAGTGGGACACGCTGCGTCCCTAAAGAGGCAGCCAAGTTGCCTGCATTAAGCTGCTCTCGAGCGAGTGTCACTCTGGCCTTGCCACCCGCAGTAAAAGGCTTTGCAGACAAGTCCTGTCACAGGCAATTACAGCCAAGTTCACTTTGCTGCCTTCCCCCTGCGAGCGCATGGCCTTAAACCGCAGGAGTGACGAGGAGGAGACCGTGTGTCACGTTGTGTCAGTATTTCCAGTGAGTAAGTGGCGTGTCATGGTGCCACCATTTGCATATGCAGGCTCCCAAGTTGGAAAAATCCCATGCTACCCTGTGTCACCGGCCCACAGAGCCAGTCAGGTGTTTGCTCAAGTGGGTTTTAAAGGATGATTTTGTGTTATCCACAACGGGACAGATGACTTGCACAAAGGACAGTTACTGAAAGCGTGTCGAGACGCTCGAGAAGGCCAGAAGATGAAAGGCTTCCAGAATATGCTCAGTAAACTCAGACAGAGCGGTCTTGGTTTCATTGAGTCTTCTGCTTTTATCCACAGTAGAAGCTTGTTCCAAGCAAGAGGGGGAGATGACCTGCTAGGTAGGATGTGGCTGCTGTTGGGTACCAAAAACTGCTCATCCATCCTGCAGCGGGGGTGCCTGGACGTGTCTGGTGATCGCGGTGTCACCTGGGTCTCAAACACGTCCTTGTTTGTGTCGTCTTCAGGTCCTCCGCGGAGGAGCCAGCCAGCGCCCGCTGACCCCGAACCAGAACCAGCAGGGACAGCAGACCGACCCGCTGGTGGCCGCCGCCGCCGTCAACTCTGCCCCTGCCCTCCTCTCATGAGTCTGCGCGGTGTCGTGATTGCCTGGCATTCAGCAACGTTTAGTATTTAGACTATAATTTATACAGTATATATTTTATATATATCTATATATATAGTATGTATTTTTATACTATAATTTCTATTTCTATAATTTCTTGTTTCTAATCTGTGTATGCACAAGGAGTTGAAGTCACTGTTAGATGTGCACAAAATCTCTATGCAGCATTTAAATCGAACAGGTTTAGACCCCTGTGTTATAACCTGTGCTTCTGTCCTGGAGCATTAGCCCTTATCTTGCTCAAAGGAATTGCTGGCTTCCTTTGAAACGTGCTTTTAGGTACTTGTGTGGATCACGGTATCTTATGTGATCTTTATTTTAAGATCTCTGGGATGCCTTAGTCCCATGGATTAACTGTCCTTCCATCCCTGCAAGGTGCTTGACTTTAACAGAGCAAAGACTTCCCCTCCGTTGTCCACGAGACCGTGGGGTACAAACGCTTTTGGCGTGTAACACATAGGATATTACTGGAACTGCAAAATGCAAAGATGAGCATTTTGCTTTTTGAATAATGGACAAATTTGTCTGATTGGCCCCATGCAAGAGAGCCTGATTATTTCAGCCTCAGGTCTTCAGGTCTCCTCACTGGCAGCATCACAGGTTTTGTTACGCTTAAAAAGAATGCTCCAGTGTGATTGGTAACACTTAAGTAGTTTCTAGGTGTGCTTGTTTGGTGCCTGAATAATAGCTCTATATTGCTGAAATTTTGATGCTCTATGCATTACCAGAATTATTTAAAAAAAAGAAAAAATATAACAATTATTATTAGATATTAGTAGTAGTAGTATATATTATTATAACTAGTATGTATTTGCACCATGTTAGGATAGTTGGCTAAGTGGAAAAGCTTTATTAGTGAAAACTTCATTAGTGTAAAAATATAGGTATGAAAGTCCTGAGCTGTGGAGACAGAAGGCTTTTTCGCTTCATTAGAAGAAAAACTTGTCTTCTTTTCCTCCCCGTTCTATTTGTGCCTTTTCTGATTTTCTTGTAAAAATGCTGCTCAGTGTGAGCCGGCGCACGTGTGCCGTGTGCCCGGAGCCTGAGCCGTGCGTCTCGCGTTCCCCGTGCAGGTTACCCGGTGCTGGCTCCCGCCGCCTACTACGACCAGACGGGCGCCCTCGTCGTGAACGCGGGGGCCAGGAACGGCCTGGGGGCCCCCGTGCGCCTCGTGGCCCCGGCTCCCGTCATCATCAGCTCCTCCGCGGCGCAGGCAGGTGAGTCCCGCTGCTCCGCTCCGGCGATGCCGCTGCTCCGCGCGGAGCCGAGCCGGGGTCCCGCTGCGCGGCGGCCGTGATGACCCGCCTGCCCTCGCGGGGATCCCCCAGCCGGGACCCCTGCTGAGAGCCTGCTCTGTGCTCCAGGCCTGAGCCACAGGAAAAGACTGAGAATTGCTCTAGACCCGACCCTGTTACTTTGCCAAGCTGCTTCTATATTTTTTTTCACTTTAGAGGTGGCTGCAAAGCAAAAGGACTTGATTTTGGTGTTCTTTAGTGCTGCAGGGTGGGTTTCATCATTAATGGGTCATTTTGGTGTTTTCAAAACCTGCCTTTCTTAATTCAATACTGTTGAATGTGTGGTTGTATTGATTTAAATATTAGATCTTGGGAGAAAGGTCACTTTTTTTCCCTTCTTAGATCTCCTGCGCTCCAGTAACAGAGAGAGCAGTAGTAATAACTTGGCAGTGTCAGCGTTCAGTGAGTTTATGCAGAGGATAGGTAGAAGACCAGGAGACCTTGTGCTGCTTTTACGAGCAGGGACGTTTTTCATCCTGAGAGGAAAAAATATATATATATAGTGTATGGAAAGACCTTGCTAGGTTTTAACCTCCAGAATTGATAGGAAAACGAATTTCTTTCAGCCTCTGCTTCCAATTGCTTTTCCCTGCAGCGGTCGCGGCAGCCGCGGCTTCGGCTAACGGGGCGGCCGGCGGCCTGGCCGGAGCGACGAACGGACCGTTCCGCCCCCTGGGAACTCAGCAGCCTCAGCCCCAGCCCCAGCAGCAGCCCACCAACAACCTGGCGTCCAGCTCCTTCTACGGCAACAACTCGCTCAGCAGCAATTCCCAGAGCAGCTCGCTCTTTTCCCAGGGCTCTGCCCAGCCTGCCAACACCTCCCTGGGCTTCGGAAGCAGCAGCTCTCTCGGTGCCACGCTGGGCTCGGCGCTGGGAGGCTTTGGAACAGCAGGTAGGAGTTTGCTGCATTCTGCATGGGGAAGAGGGAGAAATCACCGTGGCCAGGTGGAAATATTGCTGGAGGGACTGTTTAGACTTCAAAACCTGCTGATGAAGCTTCTTCTAGTGGGCGGTGTATTAAAAGTAGCAAAATCAGCTTCTTCTCAGGCGCGTTTGGTGACGTTTGGTGTGTTATACAGCCGTGCTGGGACAGATTCAGCTGTGTGAATACATGGCCCGAGGGATTGCAGAGAACAAAAATGCTCTAAAAATCAGATTCCTGAAGTAGGGAATGGAATTCGCCCCTTCTTAAAAAAAAAGAAAGAAAGAAAGAAAAAGCTAAAAAAAAGGGGATGTTTTGAGATTGCAAAATTGACAGACTTGTACCACAAGCTGAAACTCATTTCAGCTCTAAATTTATGGATCCTTAAGGAGCAGCCATGTCAGACACTTGCCCAAACTAGGTGGAACTTCACACGTTTTGCATGAGGTGCTGGACAGCTTTGGGGTTTCCTCGCTTTCACTTGCTTATTCTTGGGGGAGATGCTGAACTATGAAGGCATCAGTTCCCGAGCCTGGGTGCTAAGTCCAACCTCAGACTTGAGCAGCGTTATCATCTGAAGTGCTTCCACGTGTTACTCTGGGAATTGCTGCTATCATAAGCAAAACCAAGTCATTTAGAGTGCAAGAAAAATGATATGCCTGGTTTATTTTGATGTATTTGTTAGGCAGTTGAAGACAAAAGATTTTTCAGAATAAAACTAAACCAGAAAGATGTATGTGGGTTGGGGTTTTTTTGTTATTTCTTCTTTCTCGTTTTTTCTTTGTTTGAAGTAGAGCAATTGTTTTAATTACTGTTTAGTCTTAGAGGTAGTAATTATAGCCTGATTTCTCTGCTTTCGTCAATCTGAAGGGCAAGTCCCAAAGTGCCTTTTGAGCCTGGGCTGGCAGAAAAGATTGATATGCTATCACTGGATCAGATCTCAAGTTTTTCAATAAGTTACTCAAATATTTATTCTTAAACCCAGCCTGAGGATTTGAACCATCTTGGATTCTGGTAAATGCCTCATTTGCTGCTTTCTTTGCAGTTTATTCAGCTAATTGGATTCAATGACTAGTTTGTTCAAAGCTGAAAGGCTCAAACTCGTTTTCCCTCAACCTCTGAATAAAAATATGAGGCTGCTGCTTCTAGAACTTGGTGTGCAGATGTAAAAAATAACTCCTTCATTACAGGCCCCAATTCCACTATTTATCAAACAAGATTTTAATGCAAAATTGATTTTTCCTTTTTTTCCTCCCTCTGAAATACGCAGTGCATTTAAGGACAATTTATTTAACTTGCAAGAAAGCTCTTAAAAAAAGGTGGTTTAGTGTGTGTTAAATTGAATTTTGATTCTCTGGTGCAAATAGGAGTGAAAAAGAGGTGACTCCTCAGCTGTTTTCTAATGTAATGAAAGGTGAGAACAAGACTTAAGTAAATGTGCACTAAGCTTAGACATCCTCTTAAGTAAACACGAATAGATAAAATCTCGCATTGCATTTATTTTATCTCTGTTGGTCAAAGAATAAAAGTGAGGCACAGTAAGGAGATCCAATATCTTCTGTTAAGCCAAGGGATGTGCTTTGAAGTATACAACCCCTCTTCTGAAGATTTGAAAGAAAAAAGCAGGTGTGCCCCAAAGCCAAAATGTTCACTGTCATTTCTCATCCCTGGCTTCCTTCACATACACTGTATCTTCTTGATCTTTCTGCTTTTAGATATTTGGGGCCGTATTTATTGATGTGTTCTGCTAGCGCAAAAGCTGCCGAAGTGTGAGTGCAAAGGCAGGATTAGAGCCAATTATTTAAATCAAGGGTTTCTGCTTGCTCATTAGAAACATGATTTTAATTATTGCATTTCACTTGGGCACGTGCATGCTTTAGGATAACAGCAGCCTGGTGCCGTACAGCTGTACTAGGTGCTGCTGAATTGTCGTTCTGAAGGTACCTTTGCTTGTCCCGGGCAGCTTGCTCACATCTCTCCTTTATTTTCTTCCCCTTTTCAGTTGCTAATTCCAACACTGGCAGCGGCTCTCGCCGGGACTCCCTTACAGGCAGCAGCGACCTGTACAAGAGGACATCCAGCAGCTTGACTCCTATAGGACACAGTTTTTATAATGGCCTTGGCTTTTCCTCCTCTCCTGGACCTGTTGGAATGCCTTTGCCCAGCCAAGGACCTGGCCACTCGCAGACTCCACCACCTTCCTTATCTTCACATGGGTCATCTTCAAGTTTAAACCTGGGTAAGAGCCTTTGCCACTTTTAGGGGCTACCTAATATCAGAGATTGGTTGCTGATAAACAGCTCTCCTCTTGTGCAGAGACCTGACCCCCTGTCCTGCTGCAGGGTAGGTGAGATACAGGCCATCCAGTTGGCATTCAGAGCTCTTATTCCTGGGCAGTTCTCAAAATTGCATTTTCAAAAGGAAGCCCACAAATCTTTGCCTTATGAAAAGCACATCATTGTGTGAGATTAAAAGCTACGTCTTCGATAAGAAATTATAATTGAGCCAGAACTTCTACGCACCATAAGATAGATTTTTAAAATAAAGCAAATATTAAATAATAAAGCAGTGCTCTTCTGAAATACCCAAGGTGTTCATTTTCAGGCCAAAGGAACAAACAAAATGACTTATTCTCTACATTTGCACAAAATAATTCAATATATGCTCTAAATGCCACTTGATATTGCTTCTGTCAAGTATCTGTCTGCATATAACAAAACATTTGGTTATCAGAGCACCTCTCTTGTATAGTGTTTGATGCATAAGACTGTGTATGCATATTTATCATGTTTATTACACTCGTGTGGTAAACTTGATGCTGGCTAAAGATTAAGATAGAATAGCAATAAATACAAATTTTCAGCTTAAGCTTACATTTAAAACCTTTAGATTTAGTAGAACTGGAAGGGGTTTTTAGCTTCCTTTATGTGCTTGTACAGTGCTTATGCTGACAGTTAAATAGCAACGATAAATTAATGCTGAGGACTAACCAGATTCAAAGTCTGGCACTAGAAGAAGTCTGTTGCCCCTGCGGGCAAACAAAAGAGAATGAATCTTAAAAACTGGATCAGAAAAAGGTTAATCTGCTCAAGAACAAGTACTGGTGAGAAAGCAGAGATACCATTTACATACACAGACTGCGTCCCAAAGCAGTTAGCATGTGAGCTTCCCATTTTGACAAAATACTCCTCTCCCTGTAGCCAGTTTTTCGCAGTGGCTGACTTCATGCTCAGCAGGATCTCTTGGAAATAACTGTGTCTGTGTGGTTTTCACCTTAGAATCTGTGCAAGGTCATTTAGGTTTTTTTCCATGTTTATTTTTCATCTATAATATAAGTTACAGTGTTAAGTGAAGTCAGACTTCCCTTTGGTTAGAAGATAAATTCTAGTGCTCCAGAAAGAGCAGGGGCATTGCTTTTTTTTTTTTTTTTCTTCGTATGAAGCATGAGGCTGCCTCCTTTTTGAGCTCACTAGCAAAAGGAGTTTGTGTGAAGAGGGTGAGGAAAAAAAAAATGTAAAAAAATAAAAGATAAGTGGGAACACTCCAACAGGTTGTTTGCAAGGAAGAATTAGAGCAGTCGTCTTTCAAAGCAAGTCCCACTATTGTATCATTCCAGGGAAGCCAAGGTGGAGGAGATGTTTCCAAGTAATTTGATTTCAGGAGTGCTGGATGACAGCTGAAGCTGCCCATGGATCTCATTTGCAATCACTTAATCCGTGGGTAAATGCTGCAGAAACAAGGCTTGGGCTTTGCCGTGCGTCGTGGGTGTGGAAGTTGCTCCCCGTTTGGTTTAGGGGGCTGCACAAAGCAGGGAGAGGTTCAGCTCCTGCCTCTTGCCCTTTCAGCTTTTGGAAAACTCATAGCTGTGAAAAATGGTGCATATTTATCAAGTTAGGCTTTTTTTCCCAGTGTTGCAAAGTGACTTTGTGAAATACCCGGGCACTTGCAAGTACCTGAAATAACACGCAAGCAATTCTTGCAAAAAGGACTACTGGAAGAGGAAAACTTAGCTGAATAACAAGCTTTGTGCTCGAGGGTATCTACAACAGATAGGTAAAACACCTGTACATGCATTTTTGGGTCAGAAAAAAACGAAAACTGGCCAGGGAGCTGGAAAGCAGCTGTGACCAGCTGGGCGGGCATCCGGCCCTGTCTCTTCGTCTTGTTGTTTTCCATCAGTTTCCTGTCTCTCATACCAAGACCTCCTACATTTCAGGGCGTCTCGGGGACCTTAGGAAGTTCCCCTGGAAGCTTGCTTAAGACCTGCTTTATTTTCACACAGCAGCTTTTGTGTTTCCTCCTCTGTTTTTTTTTCTTTTTCATTCTTTTTCCCACTTCTTGTTTCATCCTCTGGTTGTCCTTTTTATTCCCTTGAATTCAGTAATTCTTTCTGATTAACATCAGTCTCATAAAGTGTCCCAGCAAGCATGGAGAAGATGACTGATCATTTCAGAATAGGAGATTCTCAGTCCTTATGGCCACAGTGTGAGTCTGAATAACTTCTCAGTTTTGGAGGCACCAGGGTAAGGAGTCTGTGCTCTTTGTGCTCCCCAGAGGTTGATGTGTTTCTATATATCCCAGATGTTTAAGCAAATACAGGCTTTTTCTTTTGTCTGCTTAGACCATTTGGAGGTCTGTGCTACATCTGTCACTTCCCTGGGCACAGGAGCAACTCAGGTGCCACCCCAACATCTTCCAGGCGTCTCCTCTTTGGGATTTTTGCCCCTTCATCCTATCTCAGTGTCTCCAAGAGGTTTTCCAACCTCCTGAAGCAGAGGTTGTTTTGCCATAGCGATGGTAAGGTCCCATTGCAGCCTCCTGCCACCACAGCAGCTGCTGGAGAGACCTCACGCACCCAGGCATGAAGGACCAAGGTCCTGCGAGGTTTGTGATGGTCACAGGTGGCTTCCTGGTGGCACTCGCTGTATTTAGGAAACCTGTCACCCCCCTGCCACAATCTCTGATGCTCAGACCAGTACCAAGTGCCTGGATCTGCAGTCAGCCCCTCTGTTAGAGGAACAGCAGTCTCCAAAGAGACAACAAGATTTTGGTGTGAAGCTTCTGTTGGAGAGGACATCCTCTGGGCACGCCATCCTTCTCATCCTGCTCACCTAAAATCATACTTGGCAAAGCTGTTGGGGATACTTGGCCAGCAGAGGGATCCCAAGCCCTGGAAGAGGAGGAAAAACACTCGGCAAATCCTACCAGAGCTCTGAGAAGCAACAAGGCGAGCGAACTCGGAAAGAGAACGGATCGCCAGAAATACGGCCGAGAAATCAACATTTTTTGGTGTTAAGCAGGTTACTCCCCAGCACCTACAGTCTCCTAACTAAATGAGGAATTATTACTGATTCCCTGCTGCTATTCTGCTTTATTCACTGGCTGTCTTAGTGTAGATGAAAGTTTTCAGGGTATTTGTCAAAACCAGGGGTTTTCTGGAGGTATTTGTTTACTGGGACTTATTTGTTGTTATTCAGACTTTTCCTTGTGACATCTATTTGCACTTAGCAGAATAGAGAGCGACTTTCTAAATCCCTGATTGTTTTACTCATTTCTGGCTGCCTTTCTGTCTCCTCGTTTCTCCTTCCTTCCTGTCATGGTGGACCAAACCCACCATTTTGGTTTCTTTGAAATTAGTCTTTTGTGCAGCAACAGGACAGGTGGGGGAAAAATGATAGGAAAAAAGGGTGATTATGAAACAAAAGTGAAAAAAACAGGTAGAAAAAACGGTAATTTTGTCTGATTTATACACTTTCCACACAAAGCCAGGAGCAGAAGCCTCTTATAGCCTCTTTGCTGAAATATGTAGCTCATCCTCACTGAATACGACGGTGCTCCGCTAAGGAAGAATGCTTGAAGAGAATCACCCAGCATCACAGAATGGTGATTCTTTGGGCAGCCTGTTCCAGGGCTCTGTCACCCTCCCAGAAAAGAATTTCTTCCTCATGGAGATGCAACTTCCTATGTTTCAATTTATACCTGTCACCCCTTGCCCTGTCACTGGCCACCACTGAGAAGAGTTTGACCCCATCCTCTTTACGTTCTCCCCTCAGATATTAACACATATTGAATGTGTCCTCACCAAAATTAATTCTGGAGCAGTTTGTCTAGCTTGTTTGGAAGCACTTGCCAGCTGTTTGGGTAAAATAAAAACAATTTTTAAAAAGTGATTTAGAAGTAAAACATCCTGCTCAGATTGTAAACGCTTTTGCAAATGACTCCTTTGACGGCTTCATCCTTGGAGATGCTTTTTCCGTTGCAGGAGGGCTCACGAACGGCAGCGGTCGCTACATCTCGGCCGCCCCCGGAGCGGAGGCCAAGTACCGCAGCGCGAGCAGCGCCTCGAGCCTCTTCAGCCCCAGCAGCACCCTGTTCCCGTCGTCGCGCCTGCGCTACGGCATGTCCGACGTGATGCCCTCCGGCCGCAGCCGGCTGCTCGAGGACTTCCGCAACAACCGCTACCCTAACCTGCAGCTGAGGGAAATCGCCGGCCACATCATGGAATTCTCCCAGGATCAGCATGGATCCAGGTAGGTTTAAGACCCTTGTGCCTTGTGGGAGGCTTTGGAGACAGCTGCTCTTGGGCGCAGCGTGGTTTGCAGGTCGTATCTTTGTGAGAAAGCCATGAAGCCAAGCAGCGTAACACTATTTTTCCTTTCTATGCTATCAAAATGTGTTTGCAAAGTTTCTTCTCTAAGGAGCAGCTTTCTTTTCTCATAATTTGCCTGTTAGTCCCATTGGCATAGCCCAACTCTAATTTTAAGGAGCTGTGTGGGCATGAGACTTTGCAGTGTTCCCCTATTGAGATTTGCTTTGCTTGGAAAAGAGAGATTTGGGGCTGCTGACCGGTGACGTAGGCACAAACTGTCACCATCCAGTAGCTGTGACACATGGGAACACCCAAGCCCGTTTGCAGAGGAAAGGACATTCAAAAGAGGCTGTTTTTTAAGCAGCTGATGTGTGAGGCTCTTGAATGGACTTGAGATAACAAAAATGGTGAGTGTGTACGTGCCAGTGGCATCACAGCAACCCTATTTTCCAGGTTTATTCAGCTGAAACTGGAACGTGCTACCCCAGCAGAACGTCAGCTCGTGTTCAACGAGATCCTCCAGGCAGCTTATCAATTAATGGTTGATGTGTTTGGAAATTACGTCATCCAGAAGTTCTTTGAGGTAGGTCTTCATTCCCCTCTTTGCTAGGGCTGTTCAGGTGCCTTCTGTCTTGAGGTAATTGGGTGGGCTCAAGTAAAACTCCAAAAAAACCTCGGTGTTTGTCTGAAAGGATGGACTCTCTGGCAACACTGATGGTCATCATCCCCTCGCTTGTGGCTGCGTTGTTTGATGGAAAGCAATGGTTGATTAGATGCCCATTTCTTATTCTGAAGAGCGCTCAGTTCCTTCTACACGAAGCTGGCCGTGATTCTTTTACCCAGTGATTTTTATAGCACCTGTGTCACGAGTTTTGCTGCTTTAGTGATCTGGTGCACATCCCTCCTCTGGTTGCAGCACCTTGGACTCTAGGCATTTTCTTCTGCGTGCCAGCCATATTGGACAAAGAACAGCCACCTCTCTTGTGCCTGTTCTGATCCATTTAGTTTTCGTTATTATTATTTTGATTGGATTTTCTGTCTTTCCAGTTTGGCAGCCTGGAACAGAAGCTCGCCTTGGCGGAGCGTATCCGTGGGCACGTGCTGTCCCTGGCGCTGCAGATGTACGGCTGCAGGGTGATCCAGAAGGCCCTGGAGTTTATCCCCCCAGACCAGCAGGTAATTGTAAGTTTCAATTTTAACTTTCTTCTTGATGTTGAACGTTCCTTGCTGTTTGGTGCCGTGAACCTCAACCTTTACATTGTCTGTGGCTGGTTTCCCATTGATTTGGTTTATGGTATGTGATTTTTTTTTCTTAATATTTAATGTGCATGACCAGTACGTGATGCAGTTCGCAGGGTCTTGTCATCTTACTGTTCCACTTAACAGCGTCAGTTCTCCGTTGAGTCTTGTTGTTCCCTGCCATCCGATCACCTAGTCTTCCTGCTGGGAAAAATAATAGTAAAATGGATGATTTAGATGTCTTTGCCAGCAGTTGGCAGAGCTCTGCCTGTAGCATTCACTGAGCTGTGGCTGCTTGAATGTATGGGCCGGTGGTCTCCAACAGTCGGACACAGGAGCAACTCCCGGGTCCTGTGAAGGCAGAGCAGGCATTGGATCCATGTGGGGAATAGCTGGAATTCTGCTCAAATCAATCCTCTCAAATAAAGCAGTTCCTCTAGGATTTTCTTTACAGAGATTTGAGATGAAAATTCCACTGTGCACGCCAGGAATCCTAATGTGAGAACCTCAATTTAGGTTAGAGAACTAGGGGGTGGAGGGGGAGAGATGAAGAAACAGCTGGGTGAAGCTTTGGCCTTAGCACAGCCCTGTGTTTCAGCAGTGGCAAGTCATGGTCCAAATCGTGGCACTGCTGGTCCACGTATTTAGATTATTTTTGAGTACTCTCTGCTCTTAAAATACCCATTTATTTTGGATGCGACAGTGAAGTTTAACACTTTGGTGATGTTGCTGAATAATCAAGAATCTGCAGTTCTGTCTTTCCCAGTCATGAAGCTTTTAACCTGTCCATACGTTACACTAATCATACGTAAGTCTCATTGACTTTGCTTCCTTAATTACCATACAAAATTGCCCTTCTTTCTGAAATTGCTAGCAAGATCTTATCCTAGCGGTGACTCCATTTCAGTAGTGTATGAGTCAGTCAATAAATAAATTAAACCAGAAAAAGAAAAGTTAATAGCTTGAAGTTTGGACATTTTAGGCGTTTTTCTTTTAGAGAGGAGGAGCGAGGGATACACTCCGAGTTCACATGCGTGAGTGTTGGTGCAAGCTTTAAAACTGAGTGTAATGAGCAGCAGACATCAGGCCCTGGCCGTTTGTTCCCCGTGGATCTTGGTGGTGCTTTCTGCTTGTCTTCCTCTCCCCCCAATAGAACGAGATGGTCCGGGAGTTGGACGGCCACGTCCTCAAGTGTGTGAAAGACCAGAACGGGAACCACGTGGTGCAGAAGTGCATTGAGTGCGTGCAGCCTCAGTCCCTGCAGTTCATCATTGATGCATTTAAGGGACAGGTGAGTGCTTAAGCTTTCAACTTTTGTTATTTGTCTCCTTCAGTGCTGCTTTGAGGAGCGCTTTTGTAGCCGTAACTTGGACACGTCTTTGGGTTTTTAAATCTGTGCACAAATTGGAAGATTTGTGCAAAATGGGAGCCTAGAAACTCTTTGGTAACATCTCTGTTGCAATTTCTGTGCAAGTATGATACAATAAAGCAGCCATTCCCCCCAAAAATGCTGCTCTCCTGCAACATCTGATATTTCTCACTGATGGGGGGCAAACAAGTCTCTTGTTAATCCGCATTCACAGTAAAAGTGGGGAGCAGAGATTTGGGTTGGACATAGTTAACCCTCAGTATGATCCTTTGGTGAGGTTGGTAGAAGACTATTTCCCAAGGGTCCCAAACCAAGGGGAAAACATGAATTTTGTTTAGGAAAAGCCAGTAACTCATGCTTCATTCTCACATTTTATTTCTTCTCAGTTATCCTCTCCTGAATCGACGTCCTGGATGTTGATTTAATTGTGTAGCCAGCTTTATTCTTGTTACAGTTGGCCTCTTTCATTACAGAAGAGCCGTCCTGGGTGTCTCCAGCTTCACCCTAATTGGCTTTGGAAAGAGGGCTTTGAAGTGCTGAGGCTTTCACTGCAGGGAGGCCAGGAGGACCTGGGCTTATTAGAGCAGGAACCAGGAGCCTTTATTAGTTTTTTTGCTCCTGGAGCAGCCGGACTTGCTCGGTTATGTCCAAACAAGCAGGAGCCAAGCTGGAAACTTACTCAGCAAATTTACCAGTTAGAGTTGGGTGATGGGGCCATCCTTTGGAGCTGGGAAGGCAGCCGTTGAGCTGGGAACCCTGTTGATAGGGAAATTCATCTTTGACATCCCGTTGATACCGCAAAACTTACCACACACATCCAAATAGTCAAGCAGAATCTTTTGCTGAACATATCTATACACACATGTATTTAATCTTTGTGTTTCATGCTGTTTCTTACATAGCCTTAGCTGGGTTAATCAAAACCTTCCAAATCAGTGTTTTAGCACAGCTTTGACTGCTGCTTGGCTCTCCCAGTGCTTTTATTAATCGAGTCACGTTGCTGTTGGTTTCCTGTGTTGCGAGTGGAGATGCTGAAGGACAGACAGGGACGTGACGTGCCCAGCGCTCCCGCGGCCGCGGGGAGCAGACGTTTCTGCTGCCAGTTTATGCCACCTAGAGCTGAGCAGAGATTCAGGGCTGGCAGCAGCCCCCGAGCCCGGGAAACGCTGCCGAGTGTTCGCTGAATTCGGGAAGTTTGCCAGGATTCACGGGGACTGACGGCCGCGTTGCTGCCTGTGCTTGTCTGTGTCGAACGCAGGTTTTCGCCTTGTCCACCCATCCGTACGGCTGCCGCGTGATCCAGAGGATCCTGGAGCACTGTCTTCCCGAGCAGACTCTTCCCATCTTGGAGGAGCTTCACCAACACACTGAGCAGCTCGTCCAGGTAGGTGCAGCTGCTCTCAGATGCTTCTTGACTACTGCCTTGCAATAGGAAGGCTGCCAGCAGCCTAAGTGAGGCTGGAGTTACAGTGCTGCTGGGGTTGTGTGGACATAACAGCTCCATTTCTGAGGAGGAATGGGGAGGAACACGGCAGACAAGAAACAACACGGTCAGCAGTAGTTTGGGCTATGTGTAAACATCCAGAAGGCATCAAAGTTGTAGTTACTCCTTACGAAAAGTATCTCAGTATCGAGTGGGTGTGTGTCCAAATGCTTCACCCCAGAAGTTCCAATGCAAATAAGATCCTAAGGGATTTAATGTGAAGATGCAATTACTTTTAGGAAAAGATATTGCTTAGTAAGTGGGGTTCTGATTAATGGGTTGTTTTTATGCACGTCTCCTGCCTGCTTGCTTCCCTCTGCAGTTTTCTGAAAACTCATGTTTTCTAGGATTCTGCTGTCAGACACCATGAGTATAATTCCGGATGAGTATCCTGTATACTCATGTGTTAAGCACATGGAAAGTGGGAAGAGGTTGGGCATAGAAGTGCCTTTGGTTATACTAAGTGAAAAAATACACATCCTGTGGTCTAAGTATACACATATTTGGAATAAGAACACACATATGGACACTCTTGTGTAGTTAGAACCATGCCTTAGCCCTCCACTATGTGTTTTCTTATTCTAGATCTTGGAGAAATCCAAGAAACTTGAAATAAGCAGTTAATGACACTTAATGATGAAGTGAAATTGTTTTAAGCTTTTCATTTGATACAAAGCATTAGTGTTTTACCTCCTGATGGAGCTGCAGAATGCACATTTTTGTAGAAGTAGAAAGCATTTACATGACCTAAGCAGTAGATATTTGAATTAGTGTCTAGTCTAAGTGTGTAAGTCTTGATGCACATTGAGAACTACTTTGATACTAATGGTTCCTGTCCACATTTTTGTCCCGCTCTTCTGCTGTCTCTCAAAACAGGATCAGTATGGGAACTATGTTATCCAGCATGTACTAGAACATGGTCGGCCTGAGGATAAGAGCAAGATTGTAGCAGAAATCAGAGGCAACGTGCTCGTGTTGAGTCAACATAAATTTGCTAGGTATGAATTTGTTCCTTCAAGTCTCCACGCCCCGTGGACACATTCTGGCCTTGCAGAAGAGTTCAGGGGTGGGGTTGTAGGTAGGTGGAAGGAGGTGGCAATAACTCTTTATTTAACAGCAGGATGCTCTTTATAACTGCTTAGGAGCTGGGACGAGCAATTGACAAGGTAAGTTGTATTGTAAGGAAGGGTGAAAATATCAGAGTTCTAATCCAAATCACTGAGCTTGACCAAGAGTTATTTTTTAAGTGGACTTTATACCTTGGATAGCAACTTGTTGTAGAGAATTTCACTAACTCCAGAAGGCCTTGTCTACCCACAGGGAAATTACTGGAATAACACCTCTTTTTCATCCCTGTTTCATAAAAGAATCTGCACTTTCTATATGCTAAGCCTTGCAGGCATTTTGAGATAAATGTATAATGATAACCCATTAGGGAAGCTGAAACAGTCTGAGGTTGTTGCTCCAGATGCTGCAGAGCCAGACGTGGCTCGAAGCAAGCTATGCATGGACAAGAATTGGAAGGAAGGTGTCTTAATGCTGGTTTCTTGGAGGGAAGGTGTCTTAATGCCATTTTATCGGCTTCTTCCTCTGTGGCTGGTCCTGCTGTCTGTTTTAACCTTCTTTCCAGATGTGTTATTTAGTATATGATGTCTCCCGAGCTGAGTGCTGTTTGTGGCAAATGACTGTGATTTTTTTCAATTCAGTCAGGGGTGCAGAAGATAAGGCTGGCAAAACTCTCCCTCCCCTTTCCCATATCCCATTTATGGATCTCCAGAGAGCAAAGGCCAGTGATCTGCTGTGTTCAGGAATCTGGGAAGGTTTCTGTATTCTCTAAGCTGTTCTGTTCCCGAATTGCATTTCCCTCTTGTTTTAACCTTGTACCTCCCTTCCCGTTGAGCTCCTGTATTGAGAAAAGCCAAAGAAGAGCCCGAGTTAGGCAAAGGGGAGTGTGGGAGAACAGACATTACTCTCCAATCCGGTGTCACTCTGGAGATGCCCAAATAAACCTGGGGGAAAGAAAACCTGGACTGCTGCCAGTTCCCCCTCAACTCCCTGATCTGAAAATGTGCCCTGCGAATGTGTCCGTGTTCCTTGGGCTGCTCTTCTGCTTCACGCTGCTGGATTTCCATGCCAGCACATACGTTGTCCCCAAATGATCTGCCCTTGTTAGAAGCTTAAGGAGAGTGACTTGGGATTGAGCAGAAAAGCTCGTGAGGGCGGTTGGTGCTCACGGGCTGCCCTTCTCTTACCTTTGCAGCAACGTTGTGGAGAAGTGCGTGACTCACGCGTCCCGCACGGAGCGGGCCATGCTGATCGACGAGGTGTGCACTATGAACGACGGCCCTCACAGTGCCTTATACACCATGATGAAGGATCAGTACGCCAACTACGTGGTGCAGAAGATGATCGACGTGGCAGAGCCGGCGCAGCGGAAGATCGTCATGCACAAGGTGAGCGGTGCCACGGGCTCGCAAGGGTGCGGGACTGGTTGCCCGAGAGAGACGGAAGGTCCTAGCGACGGCGACGTTTCTGAAATACCAAAATGTGAAATAATGAGCTTGGGTTTTAAAATCAGTCTGTTGCTTGCAGCGCTCTCTTCCTGACCTAGTAACCTAGTTCCCTGCCCGTGATGTAGTGAATAATGAAACGTCGGAGGGATTTTGGCTGCGGCTCCTGTGCCTCGCGGTGCCTTCCAGGGCCTGGCAGTGATGACGCTCTTGCCCTCACTGGGAACACTGTTCGCTGATGAGAGCTCTACGTACTCAGCAGAGCTGAGCCAGCCTTGCAGACACTGGAGCCCAGCCCAGAGCCGCTGCCTGTCACCTCCTGTCCCAGCTTTGCCATCCTGGTCGGAGAGTCAGGAGAGCCGCTGGGATCGTTGTATCAGCAGGGCACATGTGTTATTCCTAACCAAAAGCAGGCATGTGGTTTAAATACGCCTCAGGCAACAATGTTAGTTCTGTCTGAGGCCTAGGAATCACTCAGAGAAGTTCTTTTAAACCAATTTATTTTGGATTAATACAGATTTATCAGGAAAAACTAATTAAAAGGTCTCAACAAAGGGATAGGTGTAGCTAAAGTTGGAGCAGTGACCTGTAGTTCTGCTAACCTCTTGCTGTATCTTGATTCATATATATAAACATATATATATACAAATGATCTTTACTGTTATGTTCTCGTTGCTGTCAAGCCAAGCATTTGAGTAAAAGGGTAACTAGGTTATCAGTGGGGTTGTCAAAAATAGAACGAGGATGACAGCTAAATAAGCCTGCCTGAATGTGATGATTTTAATGATGTTGTCAAGCCGAGGGAAGCTTGGCAGGGTTGAGCCTATCAACTGTTGCTTTTTTGATGGTAAAAACTGCCACTAGTAAAAACAGGGAGTTTTTACTATGTTTTTGCCAACAACAGCACCTTCTGTGTTGAAAAAAATAGTGAAAAAGCCCTGGGTTCTGTCAGTCCGAATTTTGTCTTGGGAATAAAGAGCAAGAAAGAAGGATCTTTTGGACCTCAGATGCTTTGTTTTTCCGTAATCGCAGCGTAGCACTCGGAGCTTCCTAGGAACAGGGAGAGCCACAGCATAAACTGATGACTTTTTTTGAAGAAGGATTTGGAGCTGAAAAAGAACAGAGGTGACAAAATAGGATGAACTAGGGCCGTTTTTCCCGTGAGGCTTTTGCAGACAGTCCCGGCACAGGCAGGTAATGATGATCCATGTCCCGGCGCGCGGGACGAGAAGGGAGCGCTACCCAGGATGCTTCCTCCTCCTTTCTCCAGCGTCTGCTTCGGAGTTAAAGGTCCATCCTAACTGCATTAGTGAAGAACCCGCCTGGGGCCTGGGGTATTTCTCATAGAGTAATGAAAACGAATCGTCCTAATATCTCGTATCTCCTGCAACCGTCCGGCAGGACTTGAGCAGTGAAATGGTGTTAACTGTGGCTAAAACGGGAAGGAGCCTTTGTAATGTGCAGGAAGGATGGCTGTGCTCTCCGAGGAGCAACGAGAGCGGAGCTGGAAGCAGCTCTTATTGTGAACAGCGTGCAGGTTGTGTCCACAGATCTCCTCTGCCTAGAAAAATCTACTTTAATTGTCAGGTTCAAAAATGTTACTGCTTTTAAGCAGTAAAACTGCTTTTAAGCAGTAACTGCTTTAAGTCCAGGCCTCTTGTTTGCTTTTCCCGACATAGTTTCACATGGACTCCTGATATTCCTCCTGGGAGCTCTTGCAGCCTTTCAGCAGTTTTAAAACACAGCCTAGGAGGAGGGCAGAACTCTTATTTTTGCTTATTTTGCTGCTGCCAAGTTGGGTGGAAGCCACTCGAGTGCCCTAGTGAAGCCACTCGAGTGCCCTAGCGGGGCCCGCGTTGCCGCAGGCAGAGCCGCGGCGTCACCGGTGCCTTTGGAGGGCAGCGAGTGCCCGGGACGATGCCAGCTGCTCGCCCAGGAGTCCCCTTTGGGCATTAAGAACACTGGTGAGTTATGAAACACGAATATGACACGTTGCCATTGGGGTGACTGCAGCAAACTCGGGTATCTCGAGCGCTTCCTGCTCCTCGCTGCTTCGTTGCCACCTGGTTGCTGAGCCTCCCTTCCTCTTTTTCCCCCCTTTTCTCTCTCTCTCCTCCAGATCCGGCCTCACATTGCCACCCTGCGCAAATACACCTACGGGAAACACATCCTGGCCAAGCTGGAGAAATACTACATGAAAAACGGCGTGGACCTGGGGCCCATCTGCGGGCCGCCCAACGGCATCATCTGAGACGCGCCGGTCATCGGGCACCCGCAACCAGCAACCACCGAGACCCCAGGATACACCTAGAACCCGTTTCATGGTTGCTAAACTACTAGAAAACACACAAAAAGAGTAAAAAAGCCTTTGTAAATTTCTTTAATTTTATTATGCATAACATGTACTAATTATTTTTTTTAATTAACTAATTGCCCTGCTGTTTTACTGGTGTATAGAATACTTGTACATAGGTCTCAAATGTACATGGAAGGCCACATTTTTGTTCACTGTTGTATCTATATTCCAAATGTGGAAACTTTCAGGGTGGTTGGTTTGAAGAAAAGGAAAAACAAAAAAAAAAACAAAAAAAAAAGTTTTTAATTCATCTGCCTTGCAGGCAACTCTTTTGCAAATACCTGTTTTTTCTCCTTTTAGTCAAAAGTCGGCAAGAAGTTTTGAATTTTAGTTAAATGGCACAAAAGATGCATTTAACGCTGTTTATAAATATATAAAAAAGGAAATTCAACTTGCTAAAGCTTCAGTTTAAAAAAAAATAAGTTTTTGAAACTTTTTAATTGCTTTCTTTTGTTGTTGTTCTGTTTTCGAGTATAACCTGCTAAAGGAGGTAGCGATGGGATTTTGGAAGAAAAACATCCACAACCCAGAAAGGTTTTAAAGCAACAGGGTGGGGGCCGGTGGATTCGTTTACTGCCTCCTCAGTTTGTTCTGTTAACCTTGAAAGACAAAAATTTGATTATTTAGCATGAGGAAAAAAAAAATCCAACTCGGCTTTGGTCTTGCTTCTATAAATATATAGTGTATACTTGGTGTAGACTTTACATATATAAAAATTTGTAGTATTTTCTTGTTTTGATGTCTGATCTGTATCTATAATGTACCCTAGTAGTGGAACATACTTCTGACTGTACAATTGTACATTTGTAAACCTCTGTAATGTAAATGTGGAGAAGTTTGAATCGACATAAACCCGTTTTTTGGTAAGAAAAACAAAAAAAAAAAAGAATTAGCAAAACCTGTGCATTTCAGTGTATATTCACACCTTTTATGGTCGTAGCATATAGTGTTGTATATTGTAAATTGTAATTTCAACCGGAAGTAAATTTTTTCTTTTGAAGGAAATGTTCTCTTTATACAGCCTAGTTAATGTTTAAAAAGGAAAATAAAATGCTTGGTTTTATTTGTCACCTAGTTGAACAGTAGCAATCCTTTCTAAATGTTATACAAAAATGATTCAGTTCAAAATAGTGTTTTTTTGAATCTTAAAAAGTAATGTTTTGCTTATTTTGTGACAGTAAGAAAAAAAGAAAAAAAGTGCAAAAGTACAGAAACCCCCCTAGTTTTCCTTACAATCAGAGTCCCTTTTCACCTTGTAAAGTGTGAATCACCTTCCCTTTTTGTACAGAAGATGAACTGTATTTTGCATTTTGTCTACTTGTAAGTGAATGTAACATACTGTCAATTTTCCTTGTTTGAATATAGAATTGTAACACTACACGGTGTACATTTACAGAGCCTTGTGTATATTTCCAATGAACTTTTTTGCAAGCACACTTGTAACCATATGTGTATAATTAACAAACCTGTGTATGCTTATGCCTGGGCGCCTATTTTTTGTAACTCTTGTGTAGATTGTCTCTAAACAACGTGTGATCTTTATTTTGAAAAATACAGAACTTTGGAATCTGTCTCAGCCGCTTTCTTGGGATATGGGGCCGCAGCGAAGCCGCCCCGGGACCTGCTGCTCTGCAGATGCTTAATAACCCTGAGGGCTTCTTTTGTATTGTCCTTGGAGGCGGTTAAAACCCTTTTTTTGGGTTAAAACCCAAAGGGTTTGGGGCTCAGAGCGGCTCCTGGTCGCTCTGGTGCTCTGGCGCTCCCAGCACGGGGCTTCCTTGGCTCCCGGGGTCCCTTCTCCTCCACTTGGGCCCTTGGGGGAGGAAGGGCTTGGGGAGCAGCACCCTGTGCCCCGGCTGGGCATGGGGCCGGTTTCCTGGGGTTAATACTCCCTGCAGCCCTGGAGAAGGGTTACAAGAGGACCCGAGAACATCATTGCAGCAGGTGAAGCTGAGGCTTCCAGGGAAAAACTCCACCATCCCAAAACCTTATTCCAAGAGGCAATATTGAGCTCGGAGTGCAGGGCCAGGTGCGGGGTTGGGTTTGTTCTGTACCTTCCTCCACTCCTGGTTCATCCTCAGGCTGGGGTCCAGCTGCCAAATGTCTGGGGCTCTTAGACCACTTCATGTCCAGGATCTGAAGGAAGTGCCGCAAGGGACCGTCCCTCTTGGTGTCTCCTGCCCTCTCCCTTCCCACCACAGGGATCCCTGCAGCCCGACTGAGACTCCTGCTCCATGGAGTGACCAGTTCCTAAGTATCTTCCCTCCTACTCCTTTGCAGTTCAAGGGCTTGTGGTTTTATAGATGTGTTTCTGAAGGATATTGCCAAAATCATTTTGGAAACCAAGGCCGTTTCTTCACTAAGCACTTGTGCAAGGACAAGTGCAAAAATTGCTGCCGCTTTCCCACCCAGCCGTGGAAAACGCTGTCCGTGGGAGCCAGTCCTGGCTTTAATCAGTTCTTGCACCTGTTGTTAAAACACAATTTCAGAGCCAATTGCACGGGCTGTGTGTGGTGTCCAGCTGGTTTCCAAAAAGAGGGAGGGACTGAGAAGGTGGTTTAAAAAAAAAAAAAATAGCTGGGTCAAAAAGCCTCCAGCTGAGGGGGGTGCAGAGGCAGCAGCTGAGCTCAGGCCGGCTCTGTGCTGCCTACAGGCCACCTGTGGCACTGCCCTATCGGGCAATTAGTCTAGATCGAGGCCACAACCGCCAAGAGCAACGGTGAGAGCAGCCGCAGGGACCCGTCAGAGGAGCCCCAGAGGACCCCCCAGAGGAGCCTCTTCCGTGGCACTGACCTCCCCTGGGCTCATACACGAGCGCTTTTGTGATGATGGGGTCACTTGTGCCCCCTGCGCTCATATCAGAGAGAGCCATCGTCTAGTGAACTTACCCTACACCAGTGCACACGGGGCCAGCAAGCAGGAGGGTCAGGCAGAAACGGGGAGGCGAGCGCAGCGCGGCCAGGGTGGCGATGCTGAGGGAGGACGCGATGCCGAGGGAGGACGCGTCGCTGCCAGCTGGGCGGGAGGCTGCGCAGGGCCTGCCAAGGGCAGCGGGGGCCGTGCCGGGACTCAGCCATCGTCTGCTCCCCGGGCTGTGCCAGGAACAGCACAAGGACAGCCCTCTGCAAGGGACACGCACAGGACACGCATGGGACGGCACAGGGCTGTGCCAGGACTCAGCCGTCGCCTGCTCTCGGGGCCGTGCCAGGAACAGCTCAGGGACGGCCCTGCCGGGGCCTCCACGTGCCCGGCGCCAGCTCACACGGTGACTCAGTCACTGTAAGATGAAAACAAGAAGGCCAATTAAATAAAAAGATCCACTTTACCATTAGCCATCATGAACTTTATTTTTAACCCAATATTTCTGGATAATCAATAGCTGAGAAAGCAAAAGTGGCATTTTTTTTTTCCTCTTGGTCTGGTAATAATTCGTGCAGATTTTTTTTACATATATATATATTTTTAATAAAAGTATAGTGTTCTTTCTTTACTATGCAGCCCACAAGTCTAACTAGAAATTTATCACTTTGTTCATAGTAAAATGCTGGAAATTAAAAACCTACCAGAAAGAGTCTCTATCAGTTGATTCCAATAACGGAGCTCCTCAGAGAAGTCTTATGTTTTTTTAAAAATATCTACTTTGTTCTTGAGCAAACCAAGAGGAGACTGAACCTATTTATGCAGACAGCATGAGGCATTGGTCAAATGCATCTTGAGTCAAGACACACTCCAACATTCAGAAAAGGCACTTCCATATCCACTTTTCCAAGCATACTCCTCTCCTAGTACATGTACAAGTGGTAAAGTCAGGAAAACAAAAAGCAAAACCAAAATGAACAAGCAGTAAGAAACACCTCACCCACGATACAGCAACAGCACTTTAAAAAACCCAGAAATTTACAGAGAGAAAAGGCATTTCTCAGATAAAGGAAACCCACGAGCGCCCTGATGAATCTGACCGCACAGCTGGATACACACTTGCCCCTGGCAGGACTTACTGAGACAAAAAGCAAAGGAAATAAGTAAAGGAAACAGCTTTGGGAAGAGAAGCGACATTGCAAATCTCCTCGCAGACGTGTTACAAGGCTGCCATCTACCGTGAGCGCATCCTGAAAACTACCAAAAACCCACTCAGCAAAACAGCAGAACATGTTTAAAGGCAGAGCAGGCCACACGCAGGACACGTCAGTCCGCAGACTAACGAGCAGCTCCGGAGGCCTCACGGTGCCGCCTCAGCAGGACGCTCCAAACCTCGGGCAACTTGGGGCGTATCGGGCCGGGCCTCACGTCATGGCCTGCGTCGGGGCACCTTGTGTGGCCTGGCTTGCGCCAGGGAACCTCATGCTGCCCTGCCTGGCCATGGCACCTTACGGCCTGCATCACGGCATCTGTACCTCATGTGGCGCTGTCATGGAGGACGGCGGCCGCAGGCGGGGAGCA